AACCCTAAACCCTAAACCCTAAACCCTAAACCCTAAACCCTAAACCCTAAACCCTAAACCCTAACCCTAAACCCTAAACCCTAAACCCTAAACCCACTCTCCTAGGTCCTGGAGGGCCGTGCATGTCATGACCTTAGCGTCTTTGCGGACATCTACGGAGCCATGGAGTCGCTTCCCAAGGAAGAGCCTTTGGCGCGTTCTTGAGTTTAGGGTTTAGGGTTTAGGGTTTAGGGCGTTTAGGGTTTAGGGCGTTTAGGGTTTAGGGTTTAGGGTTTAGGGCGTTGAGGGTTTAGGGTTTAGGGTTGAGCGGTTCAGAGTTTGGGGTTGAGGGTTTTAGGGGTGTAGGTTTTGGGGTTTTGGGGTTTTGCGTGTTAAGGTTTGGGGGGTTGGTCGCCTCAAGTGCGTACCTTGCAAGGGCTGGGGTACATAGTTACGTTTGTGGCTGCTTGGGATGTTTGCGATTCAGATAGGTTTTAACGTGTCTCTTCCGAATGTCTTCTCGATGAGTGTAATCTTCCACCCTAGCTAGATCTAGGCCCAGGGCACATTTTGCAGCATTCATTTCTTGGGTTTGAGAGGATCGTAGTCAGGAATGTCTCTTCAAGGCCCTAAAGCCTAAACCCTAAACCTTTAAGAGGGGCCATCCCAGCCAAGGAGCAAGCCTCCACTGGAAGCTGGGGATCACACGCCGCGCCCGGAAACTTGCCTTGCTTCTGGCTGGCTCTTATAGGACTGTAGCCTTCTGGGTTTAGGGATTAGGGTTTAGGGTTCAGGGTTCAGGGTTTAGGGTTTAGGGGTGGTTTCGTAGAAACTCTACAATACGAAGCCCTCAAAAGTTAACCTTTCAGGAGGGGGTTCAGAAGTCAGCCGAGGAAAGGCGCACGTCTTTGTGCCGCCCGCCAGCTTCCGAAGAGCGGAGGAGTGCGACTCCCGGCTGCACGATGTCCCAACCACCATGGAGCGATGAGGCTTTAGAATCCCCGTAGTCAACCCTATAACCAGGCCCCTGTTTAAGGGATCATAGCCCATCCTGGAGCCTAATCACCTTTTCGCAACCTTACGGTTTTTTGGGGTATCTCTGTTGAAACAAGTGGGCTTCTTCATATAAACCGTCGAACATGCTAGTGAAGCACAGGACATAGGCGCCTCTTTCCCTGGGTGTTGAGGTGTGGACTGACCACGGCAAGTCTATCCTCCGCTGGCTTTGCGGGTATGTGGCGCTGCAGCCTGAGTACGGCCGCTTCGGCACTCCCTGCAGATCTTGGCTTCTGGGTCCTCACATGGCGGTGCAGAAGGATCTCGATGCCCTGGAGGCCCGCAAGGTTTGCCACTGCTACCCCGCAAGCCGAAGCGTAAGGCCCAAACCCTTCTGCTAAAGCCATGGGTAGCTTACTAATTACAAGGGGCCTAAGCAGTTAGAATGGGGTTTTGGGGGTTAAGTACAGTGAATTTATATAGGGACCATGAGGGAAGACGATTCGTACTTACTCCGACACCTATAGTACACCCTAGTCGGTCCTTTGCATGCTTGCTGCTGCCTTGGCTCCAGTTGCCAGCCGCCTTAGGGTTTAGGGTTTGGGGTTTAGGGTTTAGGGTTTAGGGTTTAGGGCTTGAGAAGCCCGAATCTTCACATCCTAAGGCCATGGCCCCTCCGACCGCGAGCGTTTTAGGGCTTAAAGGGTTTGTAGGGTTCATAGGGGAGAGCCCGATTTTTTTGTTGCATCTTCAGCCAATTGGCCCCTCCATCCAGGAGCGCTTTTCGGTTTTACGGGGTTTGTGGGGTTTAGAGAGCTTAGAGGAGCAAGTCAGTTATTAGGACTCAACTGCTTATTGACATTTCACATTGGGCAATGGCACTGGGCAACAAGCTCACAGCAGCTCATTTCGACGACGTCGTGGTCAAGCTGCATGCAGCTGTGGAAAGCACCTCGTGCAAATCACTTAGAAGCAGGTACTTGGGGCCATCGCAAGAAAGAGATCTAGAGTGAGAGAGAGAGAGAGAGCGCGTCGAATTAGGACACCTCATTGGCCTCTTCTTTGCGGGTTAGCTGCGTGTTTAGTTTACTTCTGGGGTACGAGGTACCCTAAACCCTAAACCCGAAACCCTAGACCCTAGACCCTAAACCCTAACCCTAAACCCTGTGGGGAATGAAGCCGCTGAGGCCTCCTACAGTCGCGAGGCCATGTGCAGAGCACGAAAGCGGCTTGGCTGAGGGTCTAGGGTTTAGGGTTTAGGGTTTAGAGTTTAGGGTTTAGGGTTTAGGGTTTAGGCTTAGGTTTAAGCACCAAGCAGCAACCTAAGCACAATACATTGTCTGTACATACAGGAGCATTTTCCCTCCGATTACGTTGCTGAATGTCGGGCTTAACTATATACGCCTTGTCGTTGGTGCGAGTTGCTTGCAGTGACTGCTGCCTCCAAGCTGGACTGCGCTATGTCAAGCTCACAAGCATCGGTTGCAAAGCTACGCCACCTGCGAGGCTGAAATCGAGCTGCTGACACAGGCAGGCTTGGGTTTAGGGTTCAGGGTCCAGGGTCTAGGGACTAGGGTCTAGGGTCTCTATAGGGTCTATTGTGCCTTTAGATTGGCAAACTGACGGGGTATGCTGGTTCTTGAATCAGAACAGAACGAGACCTTCCACGGAATCAAAATCTGCCTCCCACAAAATTGCGGGCCCGGGCTAAGTGGCTCAACCTAAACCTTGAACCCTGAGCCCTAAACTCTAAACTCGAAACCCTGAACCCTGAACCCTAAACCCTATACCCTATACCCTATACCCCAAGCTCTTAGCCCGAAACCCTAAACCCTAAACCCTAACCTCCCCCCTTGCCAGACCAAGCGAACAGATGCCAGGAGCACAGGCAAGCGTGTCCCAGTAGGTGCAGGAGCGTCCCCAAGAACCCTAAAAACCCTAAACTGCTAGGGTTTAGGGTTTAGGGTTTAGGGTAGATCATAATCCCTATTTTTTTTTTTTGGGGGGGGTTCTTAAGCAAGTAGTAGTACACCCTCCCTCTACGGAATCCTCTCTTTTGCTGCTTCATCGAACGCGCGTGTTTTGAATTTAGGGTTGCCGGGCGCGCAAGCCCAGGACTCCAGTAGCCTTTTGTTTTTGGGGGTTTCGGGCTTAGGTCCTTAGACAGCTCCCAAGATGCCATTGGGGTTTCCTAATTCGGCTCAAATGTAGAGTTAGGATTTAGGGCGTAGGGTTTAGGATTTAGGGTTTAGGGTTAGGGTTTAGGGTTTTGTCTTTAGGGCCCATTGTAACTAACCCAGAAAGGACCTAGAGGTAGAGCCATCGGGTAGGGCTTAGGGTCGCTGGACTAGACTTGCAGAACAGAACGTAGCTCTCCGTACACTGTGACATGTTCTGGAGCCTGAGGGGTTAGGAGAACAGAACGCAGCTCGCAGACAGATGCATGGGGCTGCTTCGCGGAGCTCCATCGCAATCTAGGGCAAGTCCAGAGCAGCAGAGCATGGAATCAAGAAAGCAAGTATCAAGGCACGGCAACACTCGCGTTGCAGTAACCCTAAGCTTCATCGGTTTAGGGTTTAGGATTGGGTTTAGGGTTCAGCTCGTCTTTCTATAACTGTAGGGATGGCGAAACCCTAAACACCCACCCCCCCCCCCCCCTGACACACCGGTTAAGGGGTTTGGTGGTCCTCCGCCCCCTTTCCGCCCCCGCCCCGCCCCCCCCCCCGCCCCCCCCCGCCCCCCCCCCGCCCCCCCCCCCGCCCCCCCCCCCGCCGCCCCCCCCGGGGAGGTGGAAGTGGCCAGAAGGCTTATGATAGCCACTCGGCCGGGGCTCATGGTGCTTGTTGTTGGGATTCATGGAGTTCGGCTTCTAGAACTTGGGGTTTAGGGTTTAGGGTTTAGGGTTTAGGGTTTAGGGTTTAGGGTTTAGGGTTTAGGGTTTAGGGTTTAGGGTTTAGGGTTTAGGGTTTAGGGTTTAGGGTTTAGGGTGTTCAGGGCTTAGGGTTTAGGAAAGTATCAGCAGGCTTGTTGGGTTTTCAGGGTGACTCTCCAGACGTTTGAGTGGCCCTCCGTTGCCGCAAAGATGTTGCAACCACAGTTCCGTGAGTCGCTCCGCTACCGTTCTTTCCCTTCTTTTGGGGGGTTGGGTTCCCTATACTTATAAGCCCCCTATGCCTATAAACCACAAAGGGTTGAGGGTTGAGGGTTTAGGGTTTAGAGTTAGGGTTTAGGGTTTAGGGTTTAGGGTTTAGGGTTTAGGGTTTAGGGTTTAGGGTTTAGGGTTTAGGGTTTAGGGTTTAGGGTTTAGGGTTTAGGGTCCTCTTTTTGATTCCTAGGTTACCCTTGGGTCTTTCCAGGACAGCCTGTACGAGCCCGATGACCGAAAGGCCTTGAAAGAGATTTTCGGTGGAGATCTCGCAAGAGTCTGCCGTGTGCGAGCTGCTTGGCGGCTTAGGGTTTTGGGTTTGGGGTTTGGGGTTTGGGGTTTGGGGCTACGGGCTACGGGTTTCTAGGATGATGTAGATGATGTAGGTAGGGAGTTTGTCAGGGCGCAGGGATTTTTTGCCGCTCAATGATGATACTTTCAGAAGAAATGCGCCGTAAGCCATGAACCCGGAACCCCCAAGCCCAAGTGTTGAAGCTATAACTATACCCTAAACCCTAAACCCGTAACCCAAACCCTAAAATCTAAACCCCTAAACCCTAGACCCTAAACCCTCAACCCTAAACCCTATACCCTAAACCCTTGACTAGGTAGCTCTGGAGCAACTGGACCCTGCAACGATTCCAAGAGCTGGTCAGCAGCTCTCGAAGTGCTGCTTGGTTTGCAACCCTCAGCCCCCTTAAGGGTTTGGGGTTTAGGGTTTAGGGTTTAGGATTTAGGGTTTAGGGTTTAGGGTTTGGGGTTTAGGGTATCATTTGGGGGGTTCGACTTTTTGGGATGCTGCTCCCAGGGGTCTGGGAAGTTTTTCCTGGTCCGGGTCGCAAACCCGAGATTTAGGATGCGCGGCCTTGCAGCAAGAGTCTTAATATTCCATAGAACCCTAAACACCTGGGCCCTAAACTAGACCCCGCAACCCCTAAACTTCTACACCCTAAACGCCCTAAACCCTACACCCTAGACCCCTAAACCCTACCCCCCCTAGACCCGAAACCGCCAAAGCCTAAACCCCAGTTAAGATGCTAAAGTAAACGACCTCTTCCCCGCACCCCGAGTTGAGAAGCGCGTAAATCCCTCCCCCTGCTAAGGTCTCTGAACCCCCAGATGTTTTAGGGCTTTTGGTTCCTCAATTCCCTAAATACCCCCAAAAACCCTAAAGACCTTAAGTACCCTTAAGACCTTACATGCAAACCCTAAACCCTAATGCCCTAAATACCCCCAAATACTCTGAGCTCGGAGGTTTAATGGCATGCCAGTCCATTGAGGATGTCTTGGCAGATCTTGGCTGCTCGGACACGTGTAGCACAGGAGAGTAGCGTGTTGGTGTTGCGGCCAGTGTCTCAGAAGGTCGTTCCTCAGTCTTGTTTTCAGTGCGCATCGGAGCTTTAACACCCTTCCAGAGCTTCGTCTCCTAGACTACTTTCCAGGGATTCACACCAGAATCCTTTGCCCTCAAAGCCCCATCTGATGAGGATGGGCTGGGGCAATGGCTGTGCAGTTGGTAGCCCCTAAGCCCTAAACCGTAAACCCGCCGAGAACCACGAAACCTCCGTCTCTCACCTCAAGTTTCAAGTTTCCGAAGACCCTTGTAAGCCCCAACCCAAGGTTTAGGGTTTAGGGTTTAGGGTTTAGGGTTTAGGGTTTAGGGTTTAGGGTTCCCAAAGCCCGAGGCTTCTCCAGGGCTTTGCAGGAGGCCAAGGAGCAGCAGCGCCAGGCGTAGAATCTCTGAAGCTCCTAATATAGGGGTCGGAATAAGTACTATTTAGGGTTTAGGGTTTAGGGTTTAGGGTTTAGGGTTTAGGGTTTAGGGTTTAGGGTTCCCTAAATACATGTACTATAATGACCCCCCCAAAAAAAACTCAATGCCTATATATTACATTAAACAAATCTCGGATATCGGTACTTGGGTAGCTTCGTTTCCGTGGTGCTCCTGGCTGGCTTCTGATTGAGCACGGCTTGCCATGGTTCCCTCAAAACTCAAGAATAGGCAACGGCTTCTGCTTTTTTGTAGGGTATACAGTGCCCAGCTCCCGAAGTCCCCACCAAGAAATGCCCTAAGGGTCCATGTACCTAAATAGGGAACACTTGGGCCCCAGAGTCCCTATATAGGAGGTACTTTAAGGCCCAAGTACTCCCTATTTAGGTACATGGACCCTTAGGGCCGGTAAGTTGCGTCAAGTCCGCATGTGCACGCTTACCCGTGTGACCACAAGGGCCCTCGACAGTCCTCGAAAAGCCGTGTAGCCCTGGAACCCGGAACCCCGAACCATGGACCCTAGACCCTAAACCCTAAACCCTAAACCCTGAACCCTAAACCCTAAACCCTAAACCCTAAACCCTAAACCCTAAACCCTAACCCTAAACCCTAAACCCTAAACCCTAAACTAAACCTGTGAAAGAGCCCGTGCTCCGGGCCCTCGGAGAGAAAGAAGTGCTGGGAGGCCCTTGTGCAGCGTCACGCCAAGTTGGCGAATGCTGAAGGTGAAGGCCAGCCGTGGGTTTAGGGTTTAGGGTTTAGGGTTTAGGGTTTAGGGTTTAGGGCTTAGGGTTTAGGGTTTAGGGTTTAGGGTTTGGGGTGTAGGGTTTAGGCTTTAGGGTTTAGGGTTCAGGGTCTAGGGTTAAGAGTTTAGGGAGGGTTGTATAGTAAGCACAGATTTTCGGGTCCGTCATGGTCTGGAGGTTACAGTAGCAGAGTTCCTCAAGTAACCTGCCTTCAGAGCGGCGCTTGCACCAGACCGTCCTGCGTTCATAACTCTGTGGTGCTTTCCTGTCACTTTAGATCTTTAGCCTTTTTGGGTTTATTGGTTTTCTTAATGTGGCAGCTAAAAAACTACTTTATAGCTACCCTTTTGAGTGCAGCCAAGATAAGTGTACGGTAGGGTCTAGGGTCACGTTCGATACCAGTGCTGCCCTGAAGCCTGTGACCACACCCCAAACCCCAAACCCTAAACCCGAAACCCTAAACCCTAAACCCCAAACCCGAAACCCTAAACCCCAAACCCTAAACCCCAAACCCTAAACCCCAAACCCCAAACCCTGAACCTACATCCTGAACCCCGACTGGAGGATGCGCAAGCGACGCGGATCCGGATGCAGCCAGTCCGGTCCTTGCCGCTGGGGTTGCTTGGCTCCAACCGGCTGATTCTTAGTAGAGAATGAGGGGAATTAGGTACCCCGTATAATGCCTTAAAGGGTATATATATATATATATAGGGCCCTATAGTCCCGTCAAGGGCCATAGTTCCCTCATTCTCTACTAAGAACCAGGGGGGTCTAACCCCCAAACTTCCGAGGATTTTGTCTTGTATGGGAGTTTACGAAAATACGGGACCCCAAATAGAGACCCCCCAAATAGTAGGATTCCCCCTCGAATTTAAGGACTCCCAAAAGATACCCCCCAAATGTCATAAACCCTCTTTTAGGCTAGGTCCTCCGGATCCTTAAGAACCCAACATTTGAAATCGAAAGGCATGCCAAGAACGTTCCGAATCCAACTCCGAGCTCAGCACATCCTAAATGGAAGCCTAAACCTCAAGCCCCAAAGCTACTCAAGTGCAGATGTGCGAGACGTAGAGCTGCATGATCATGATATATCATGATGCTGGGACAGGGGCGAGAAGACACGATAAGAAAGTTTAAGGTCTAGAGTTTAGAAAAGTAGGCTTCAGCTAGGACAGCCCTTTACCGCAGTTCTGAGTTCTGTTGCCCCAGGCTGGAATGTCACAGCCAGAGATCCGACAAATTGCCAATGACTTCTTCATTTGCGCCGGCGAAATCCTGGACCCGGCAGACTCGGACCAAGACGAGGCGCAAGCAGACATCCGAGAGTCCCCAAACCCTGAGCTCTAAAAACCCTAAACCCTAAACCCTAAGGTCCCTTATGCGGGTCGCTCCTTGCGTCCCTTGAACCTGAGACTCTCGAAACCCTGGAAGCCGCCCTCGAAGCTTTGTGAGCCCTGCAGCATCACGAATACTAAGAGTCCTTGAGAGGGATTCGAATAGGGGGTACTATAATCCCTATCAAGGACTGTTAGTTTATGGACCCCTAAACCCTAAACCCCAAGCCCTAAACCCTAAGCCCTAAACCCCAAACCTAAATCCTAAACCCTAAACCCCTACCTGAAATCTGCGCACTCGTAGGGATCTCTGGGCCCTGTAACCCAAAGCCACCAGATCCTTGGCCTTCCTAATGAAAACTCGGTTTGAGCCGACGACTTTCGGTAAAACCGACTCACCATTCCCCACCCTCAAGTTTTTTGGGGGTCCCAAACACTTAACTCCAACTCCTGTCTGCCTGCAGCCCTAAACCCTAAACCCTAAACCCTAAACCCTAAACCCTAAACCCTAAACCCTAAACCCTAAAACCCGAACGAGAACAGTGTCTGTCTTGCAGTTGCAGAGCCTCTCCAAGCGACTGTCGGAGTTGAGATCCGACATCTTTGGGGCCACAGGCCCGGGATTTGGAGATCAGCTTAGGGTTTACGGCTTGGGGTTTAAGGGTTCGGGTTTTTGTTTAGGGTTTAGGGTTTAGGGGTTAGGGTTTAGGGTTTATGGCTTTGGGTTCAAGGGTTCGGGTGTAGGGTTTAGGATTCAGGGTTGAGGGTTTAGACTTTAGAGGATTTGAGGTTGTGGAGTTTGGGGTTTGGGGTTATTTCCCTTAGGAACAACAGTAGAGCTTATGGCTTCATATTCGGGATGAGTGTTTACCTCTCTGGTGTTGTCCGGGTGCCTTTTGCTCAGAGACCGCAACCCTTGCGCAGTTTAAGAGCAAGATGCACCACTTCAGCGTGCAGGCCCTAAACACTAAACCCCAAATCCTAAACCCTAAGCCCCAAACCCTAAATCCTAAACCCTTCTGGGTTAGGTTTTGAGAGTTAAGGGCCAGCGGGGTCTGGAGATGTGCGACGGGGAAGCTCTTATCTATTAGCATTTGCACAGGCCCAAAAAATCCCAAAAGCCTTACATAGGATAGCCTCTAGGGCCAAACACTTAAAAACCAGACCCCTTGGAGTTTTGGAGCCTCAGAGCAGTTGGCTACAAATCCCAGAATAGCATTACTCTCTAAGACCTATGGAGGAGCTTCTATGGCCTAACGGCCTAACGTTAAGAATCCTTAGAGCCTCAGGGTTTAGGGTTTAGGGTTTAGGGTTTAGGCCTCAGGGTTTAGGGTTTAGGGTTTAGGGTTGTTGTGCAAGAGAGGTGGCACCCTGACCAACGCCCGGTCGCATGCTTGGCAAACGCCAACGTGGATTGGAGAGGCTGATGTTGGAGTTTAGGGTTTAGGGTTTATTTGGGGTTCAGGGTTTAGGGTCCAAAAGGGAGATTCTTCAGGTTCCGGATTCAAGCTTGTTTTGGGGGGTTTGCGTATAGGGTTCTGGGTTGCTTCAGGATTTCCCGCAGCGGGGCACAGCTCCATCGACCCACAGCCCTAAACCCCTAAACCCCTAAACCCTGAACCCTAAATCCGTTCGTTGAGGCCCGAAGGAGGCGACGGAAAGTTGATTGTCGTCGATTCGGGGGAATCATCAAATGCGACATGGTGTGTACGCAGTCAGGTCTTGAGTTTGGGGTCTGGGGTTTCAGGATTGGCGCATGTGGGGGGGCGTGACAGTATGAAGTATCAGGGATTCACCAATTAGGTCACTGAAATGTACTTAATTAAGGGTCATCCCATATATTCCTGAAGGTGCTCTAGAACACGAGCCTGTAGCCTATGTAGATCTTGTGGTCAGCAAGAAAGAGAGCGAGAGAGAGAGAGAGAGAGTCAGAGAGAGGCGCGCGCGCACGCACGCACGCACGCACGCACGCACGCACGCACGCACGCACGCACGCACGCACGCACGCACGCACGCACGCACGCACGCACGCACGCACGCACGCACGCACGCACGCACGCACGCACGCACGCACGCACGCACGCACGCACGCACGCACGCACGCACGCACGCACGCACGCACGCACGCACGCACGCACGCACGCACGCACGCACGCACGCACGCACGCACGCACGAACGCACGCACGCACGCACGCACGCACGCACGCACGCACGCACGCACGCACGCACGCACGCACGCACGCACGCACGCACGCACGCACGCACGCACGCACGCACGCACGCACGCACGCACGCACGCACGCACGCACGCACGCACGCACGCACGCACGCACGCACGCACGCACGCACGCACGCACGCACGCACGCACGCACGCACGCACGCACGCACGCACGCACGCACGCACGCACGCACGCACGCACGCACGCACGCACGCACGCACGCACGCACGCACGCACGCACGCACGCACGCACGCACGCACGCACGCACGCACGCGTGCGCGCAGCACGCGCGCACCCACGCCCCTCGCACCCACGCACCCACCCACCCACCCACCCACCCACCCACCCACCCACCCACCCCCCACCCCACCCACCCACCCACACACACACACGCACAGAGATATACACAGATACACATACACACATATACACATATGCACATATACACTTATACACTTATACACTTATACACATATACACATATACTCATATACACATCTACACATATACACATATGCACATATATATATATATATAGATATACACATATACACATATACACATATGCACATATACACATATACACAGACATACATTCATATATACACACATGCCCATATGCACACCCACACACACACACACCGGTCCAGGTGGCGGCTGCACTGCGCAGCTACGTCACGGGCTAAGGCCCGAAGCCTGCCAAGGCCAGAGAACCGAGTGAAGAGGGTTTAGGGTTTAGGGTTTAGGGTTTAGGGTTTAGGGGACTCAGGATTTGCGTGCAGTGGGCCTGTCAGGTTTAGGGTTTGTGGATTGGCTCCCTAATTCGACTAAACCCCAAACCCCAAGCCCTAAACCCTGAACCCTAAACCCTCTTTCCTCTATGACTGCTGTGTCGAACTTTGGGGCTTGCTGGCAAGGGGCTTGTCTTACAGCTGCGAAGTCGGTGTGATAGGACGATGCATTAAATAACCAGGATGCCGAGTACCCCTATAATATAGCGGCCTTAATGATCAGAATAGGGTTTTGGACGTTACTATGGCATAAATATCAAGGGACCAGAAGGGAAGAAAAACACAACACAAACACAGCTATTCCAATATGTGTATTAGTTTTGTTTGACATAGGTGTCTGGATTCTGAAACTTAACCCCCCCCCACACACGCACACCTTTCAAAAAGGAGGTGTCATGATTCCTTTCTTGTTAAAAAGAACTCTACCCTTCCGACAGGAGTCGATCGACGAGCCCTTAGAGAGCCACAACATCATCGCGGACTTGCGACGGTTGGTCTAAGCCCAGCGAAGACCCTGTGAACAGCAGAAATCCCAAACAGACCATCTATGTCCGCTCTCGCATCTTCGACTGAAAGCCAAGCTTGCGAGGCAGGATGAAGATGGAGTAGCTTAGCCCTCCAATTCAGAGAGGTGCAACAGCAACACGTAGAAATTCTTCAGCCAATTCTTTAGGCCGCCAGGGCTTTGAAGCTCCTGGAAGTTTTTGCAGATCTCGCAAGCCTGCCACTGTGCGGTGGCAGGCAGCAGCCATGTCTATTGTTTAACTCCTGGGCTTTCCACTGCTTTTCGCAAGTGCCGCGCGCAAGCTGCGCGCTAAGACACGACACCCTGACCCCATGTCCCTGAACCCTGCCCATGAACCCCAATTGCCGGTCCTTCCCTCGGTCCTTCCTTTGTAACCGTGTAAACTCAGAGCCTGCACCTCAAAACCCTCAACTCCCCGCAGCCGCACTTAGAACCCTATACCCTAACAGGCCCAATCCCTGAGTGCCAGTAGAGGCTTGCTGCGCAACATGCGCCCGCTTCTCGCACGCTGTGGACCAAATGTATATCACTCCTATATGCATGTATATATATATAAATATATATGTATTTATGTAGAGGTATGCGTATGTGTGTATGAGCATTCTTTTCAGTGTCTGTGGCTTGGCGATTTCGGGTCTTAGGTCAGTTAGGTTTACAAATGGTGCCCGAAGGTATGTCATAACATTCCTTGAGACTCAGCCCTCCTTTAGCATTCCCACTTGCAGGGGGCTCTCGCAGACCCTCGGCCCTCGGCCTTACTAGACTGGTTAGGTGTACTTGAGAACGGCGCTAGATATTATCCGGAAGGCATGTCAACTACACTACTACACCTAACCTATCCAATCGAAGTCAGATTTCACTACAAGTGCTTCCTGAAAGAGTGAGAGCCGATGGATTGAGTCACTGCTTTGGCTCTCATGCTTGGTTCCCTAAACCCGAAGCCCAATACCTAAGTACGCCCTTGGGATATGTTGTATTTTCCCTCATTGGTTTAGGAGGATCATAGTTAGAGGGCTTAGGAACCCTCAGCTACTACAGGTTCATGCTTCGGGTTCAAGCGTATTCCGGGCCTTAGAGGGGGCCCCCAAGGTTGCTTGCTAAGGGTTTAGGGCTTTCGGGCTTAGGCTTTCGGGTTGAGGGCTTAGAGGGTTCAGGGTACTGTGCTGTCAGCGGTGCAACTGTGTGCGGTTTTCTTTACCCAACAACCTCAAAACACAAAGTTTGCATCGGTCCCGAACATATGCTTTTGATAGCTTCAGTTTCAAAGGTGTCAAAAAGTATCTTTCACATGGGGTTCTAAGAACATTTACGTAACTCCCTAAACCCTAAACCCTAAACCCTAAACCCTAAACCCTAAACCCTAAACCCTAAACCCTAAACCCTAAACCCTAAACCTAAATCCTCTCAGCAGGGATCTTGCACACGCGGAGGCCTCTGCATTTCTGGGGGCCCTCCGCTCGTTGATTCGGCAGGCGGGGCTGTCTCATGAAACAAAGAGGGTTCAGAGTTCCAGGGTTTAGGGTTTAGTGGTTAGGGTTTAGGGTTTAGGGTGTGCATGGCGTTTTGGGGTGTAGGCGTCCCCCTTAAGCACTTACAATTTTTGGCAGGTTATACTTTGGAATACACAAACAGGTGAGGCTTCCCAACCCCCCAACCCCGGAAACCCTTCATTCACACTCTCGTAACTTTAAGCGCCCTGCATCCTACGCCCAGCACTTTCGAATTGCAGACTCAACAGTCAAGGCTGTAAGCCTTTTGGGTTTAGGGTTTAGGGTTTAGGGTGGAGGGGAGGTTGCGGTGAAGCTACATACCCCGCATGTAGCCCTTCTAACACTTAAAGTGCCCCTATATCCCCCTTGTAAGGAGCCTTCTTTCAAGTACCCCACCTGGGAAATCTCTTGTTGAGCTGGCTTTAGTGGGTGCCGAACCCTAAACCGTGAACACTTGACCCTAAGAAACCTTAAACACAAAACCAAAGGGTTCCAGATCTCTTCACTACAGCCTGAACCCTAATCATCCTTAACCCCACGAACCTTAAAGCGCTACGATGCCGAGAGCCATCAACCTTGAATGGATAAGCCCTAAACCCCGCCCCGCATAACCTAAGCCCTACACGCCCTAAGCGCCCCCGCAAACCCTAAACCCTAAACCCCCTACACCCTAGAAGCCCTAAAACAGCAGAAGCCCTACAAACCCTAAATCCCTAAATGCCCTAAACCGAAACCCAAGAAGAAACTAAACCCTAAAACCCAACCCCGAAGCCCCAAGCCCCAAACCCCAAACCCTAAACCCTAAACCCCAAACCCCAAACCCTAAACCCTAAACCCTAAACCCTAAACCCTAAACCCTAAACCCTCAGCCTTCGGTGACGAAAGGCCGAGGCTGCGAGCCGCACAGCACGCGAAGAGCACTGCAAGCGCCTCGCGGGACCGGGCGCACATCCCTCTAAAGACCTTGTATAAGCCCCTATGTAGATAATAAGAATATAAATAGATAAACATATATATATATATATGTATGTATGTACGTACGTATGTATGTATGTATGTATGTGTGTATGTATATTTGTATATATAATTATATATATATATATAAAGAGAGAGAGAGAGAGATTTTATATGGTCAACCCCCCCCCCCCAAGACCCACATTTTATGTATAGTTCCTATACATGTTCTTGTCGTTTGCTTTTTTCTTGCTTTGCTCAACGCCAGAAACCATTCGTGTTTGCGGAGTTTGTTTTGTTTTTTTCTTCGTGCTGAGGTTCCCGACCAGGGTTTAGGGTTTAGGTTTTAGGGTTTAGGGTTTAGGGACAGAAAGTATTGGTTCTTTGAAAAATGCTGCGTTTTCCTTCTTTTACAAGGGACATCTGGTTTGAGTCTTATTAAGTTTCAGGTTTAGGAGTCTTTGGTGGTAAAGGATGTGTTGTGTTAAGGTCTAGGGTGGTTGGGGCTTACAGTAGGGCAGACATTTTCAGGCTTCAGCCACAGGGTTTTGCGGATTTGGGTATCTTACTCAATGCAGAACGCATCGACGTTTTAAAAAAGGCTCAAGCGTGGTCTCAGATGGGATGAGGCATGCCTCGAAGGCAAAATCCCAGATTCCAGCAAGCCTCTGCTTCCTCGATGGGTGCTTTCGCAGTAGTCTCACGATCTAAACCCTAAACCCCAAACCCCAAACCCTAAACCCTAAACCCTAAACCCTAAACCCTAAACCCTAAACCCTAAACCCTAACCCCTAAACCCTAAACCCTAAACCCTAAACCCACCACACCTCACGGCAGGGTGCGGTTTAGGGTTTTGGGTTTTGGGCTTTGGGTTCAGGACCCGACTCACCTACTGCTACAGCGCTGCTCAACGAGCTGCAGACAGTGGCTGTCTGGAGCTCATGCTATAGGTGAGAATGCTCCTATAGGCAAGACAATGTGGGGTAAGAACCCGAAATCCAATCAAGCCAACCAGATGCGACATTTCGTGCCTTGCTGACGAGTGCACTAGACCACACATCCTCCCAGCCTTGCTGCCCACAGCGCCTTCAACGTTGGCTTTCAAAACTCCACAATCCCTAGCCCTTCCACCCCTAAACCCTAAACCCTAAACAGTAAAAACCCTAAACCCTAAACCCTTAACCACAAGACCCTGAGCAAAGGTTCAGGCCTACAAGCACCTTGCGCAGTGCGTCCGGGCCGTTCTGGGTGAGGTGCGCTTGGAACAGAAGCCCGTGATGCAATCTTCAGGGCCATGGGTTTTGACCTTACGAAGCCCTTTGAAATTTATGGTTTAGGGCTTTAAGGGGTTTTACCCTGACACGGGGGCTTGCAACCGAAGGAAAAAATGTGTAGGGTTTGGGGTCGCAGGCTAAACTCTAAACCCTAAACCCTAAACCCTAAACCCTAAACCCTAAACCCTAAACCCCACACCCCACACCCCACACCCTACACCCTACACCCTACACCCTACACCCTACTCCAATCTTCCACAAGCCAACCTCCAGGATCGAAACCGTGTCCAGACATCCATTGCGCTGGCTTTCCAGCACGAGGCAATGGCTCTGGGTCTTAGGCTTCGGGCTCGGGGGAATGGAAGCTTCTCTGGGAGGTGCTTAAGGAACCTTACAGCATGATCCCCAAAAGGTAGTTGCAAGCAAAATGCTGTGACTAGTCTTCTTCTTGTTTTGTTGCAATTATTTCTAATACGGTCCCTGAAGCTAATCCTAGTTTAATCTTCGCACACTGAAGAAGGTGCGCTTGTGATAGATATACATCCCTAAACCCTGAACCTTGAACCCTAAACCCTAAGAGCCCCTCCTTGTGAGGCGAGTTGTCGGAGGGGTCCCACTTGTTCGGGGGTTGGGGTCTCCTTCACGTCGAGGTTCCTGCTCCTGGGCTTCTTTTTGAAAGGATCCCCCGAGGGTGGCCCTAAACCCTAAACCCTAAACCCTGAATTTTAAATGCTGTGCGTCGGCCACCTCGGCCCGACACGAAAAGCTGCGTCTTTCGGGGAACGAGGAGCGGCTCGATTCAGGGTTTAGGATTTAGGGTTTAGGGTTTAGGCTGACGCAAAAGTTTCCCGGAGGGTCCATGTGTAGTGCTATTATGGATTTAGGCACCCCAAAACACTATTTAGTATGGTTGTTTTTTTGGTACAGTACCTCATTCCATGATAGTAATACACATGGACCCTCTGGGTTTGCATTCAGAATCCTTAGTTGCCTGCGTCCAGTGCGCCCTTCCCTGGCGGGGGGTGTCCCCCTGATCTGATTTTTTTTGAATGCCTTCGGCCGCAGGTCCTGTGAATGCAGTATATACAAATCCCCTGTGTTTCTGATTCATGGCCTGCGGCTTCACAGGCATTGCTGATCTTGACGGACAAGGACATGTCTGCTTCAATTTGTTCTTCAGTGACAAACCTGCCGGTAGGCAGTCAATGCCGTCGGCAAAACGCGGTCACATGCTGCGCCAGTGAACTGGTTTCCAGGAATGGGACAAGCCCAAGCGCCTGAAGTCCCACGAGGACAGGGTCCATGTTGTGATAGTCCTCCTCGGCACATCTCGGCACAGCATCTCCCGAACATTCAGCAGTTGATATGAATACAGTGGCAGGGGAAGATTAGTAGACCAGGGTTGCGTTTCGGATTGGATGCTGCACTGGGCCTGCCATGGCCTGCCACGTCACTACCTACACGAACCCTATAAACCCTAAACCCTAAACCCGAGTGCATTGTCACGGTCCTGGCAGGCCTTCTGGGATGTGCACTCAGACGTGGCATCATCCAAGGCAGGAAAGCTGGCGCTCAAAAATCGCTGGGTCCTTGGATGCTGAGCAGCTTTAGGGTTTAGGGTTTAGGTTTTAGGGTTCAGCATGTGGGAATTGGTGGCCGCCTCGTTCTACTGATGTTGTGGATGGCCTCAGGCTATACAACATAAGATGTGCTCAGGCCATTTCCCTAGTATATACAGTCGCATACCGTGCTTCAATCCTTGGCAGACCAGTGGTACCCTATTCCCCTTTTCTTTTGGGTTCAAGGTTCCGTTATACTCTAACTAACCCCAAAAAGAAGTGCACAACCCTAAACTCTAAACCCTAAACCCTAAACTAGGCTACCAAGCATCTCGAGAACGTGGGAAACCCTAAAGCAGACCAGGTTTGCCAGCAGATGACTTGGATGAGCTGAAAGCCTTCTTCGTGGACATCGTGGGAATCCCCGAGACTCCGATGCAAAACACAAACATAACAGGGTTTAGGGTTTAGGGTTTAGGGTTTAGGGTTTAGGGTTTAGGGTTTAGGGTTAGGCTTACTACTCATGCATATTACCACTACTACACATTTTTCAGCACTACTCACAGTAATTCCTGCTTTGAGAAGTACTTCGACTACGCAGGACTGTTTTCAGAAGCAAGCTAGAATTGACTTTGAGTATTGTTTTGCACAGCGATCACGATCATGAACCAATGTTTTTACTGTAGTTACTACGATATGTGGCTATTCTAGCCAGAATCACGATGAGAACTGAGATGACCTATTGGGATGTTCCCCCGTATCCTAACAGTCCTTGATAGGGGTTTTCATAGAGGGTACGATAATCCCCATTAAGGACTGCTAGCAGCTAGCATAAGGGGGAACATCCCTGATGACCTGGTTTACTGGTATTTGTTTACTAGGATTACGGGCCTCACTTTGACTTAGCCTGCAGGGGGGTCCCTTCGGACATTTCTTGGAAGCCGACCACACCGCGTGTAAGACTTGAGAGGGTTATAGCCTGTGGCAAGATACCCCGAAAGCCTAAATCGCAAAACCCCACGGCCCTTGACCACTCTGCAGCCCTTTGTTTATAAGCCCCAAGCCCACAGTCCCTAGAGCTCTCAACCCCAACACCGCGAAGCTCCATAACCCTCGACCCCTCATGCATCCCACACCCCACACAAAACCTAAACCCCAAAACACAAATTAAGCCAGCAACCCTTAACCCGTCAACTACACCCTAAACACTAGTCCCAAACCCCACACCCTCCAAGCTCTTGCGCCCTAAACCCTAATCCCTGAAAAAGCAACACACCCCAAGCTTGCACACCCTAAACCCTAAAACCCTAAAACCCTAAAACTCAAAAACCCTGAAACCCTAAACCCTAAAACCCTAAAACCCTAAAGCCCTAAAACCACCAAGGAGCGCCTGACGCAGCAAGACCTCGAAGCCCGACTGAGGGTGCCACTGAGCCAGGCGGCTTTGGCATTGGGTTTCTGGTTTAGGGTTTAGGGTTCTGGGGGGGCTATTGTGTTTTTTGTTTTTTGCATAGGTCCATTTGTATGGGCTATAACGGGTTTTCAAGGTTGAGGGTTTGCTGTACAAGGTGTTAGGCTTTCCCAAAACCCCTGCATCGTCCCAAGTAATCAAGGACCTGGCAGGTAGTAGGTCTTCGGTGAAGTTCATGGCTTCGTTCGTTGGGGGTTGTGGGGTTTCCGGCTTGTCGGTTTCAAGGGTTCAAGGTTTAGGGCTTTGGGTGGTGAAGAATGTGGCATGAAGGTTCTGGCTCAGGGGGGGGGGGGGGGGGCGGGGCAGACTTGATTTAGGAACAAGGTTAGGGCTTTCGCCTCTAGACCGATCTGCCCCAAGAACAAGATCGTCGCTAGGACCCAGAGTATGCCCCTATTCCCTGTTTTTGGGCTGTAGGTTCCCTTATAATCCCTTTAAGCCCAAAAAGGTACCCTTTTTATTGTAGGTTCCCTTATAATCCCCTTTAAGCCAAGAAAAGGTGCCCTTTTTATTCCTAGGTTACTATTGGGCCAACTGAGCACGACGAAGCCCATTTTGCAGATGAGGTTTTTTTTTTTTTTGGTTTGGGCTTCGGGGACTCCGGGCTGCACCATGGGTTTAGGATTCAGGATTTAGGGTTTAGGGTTTAGGGTTCAGGGTTTAGGGTTTAGGGTTTAGGGTTTAGGGTTCAGGGTTTAGGGTTTAGGGTTTAGAGTTTAGGGTTAGGGTTCACAACGACGCAGGGGAACCAAGTTTCAGGGCTTGTGGATGTTTGTGGCACCTTTTCCCCACATTCCAAGCTTCTGCGAGCCTTCGAGAATGGCTCGTACTGAGCCTTGAACAAGAAACAGTAGAATCCCCACAACTTGTAGCCCCAATTCAAGTAGGGATTATAACAGAGGGCTACTATAATCCCTATCAAGGACTGCCAGTATAAGGGGGAACCCCAGACCCTCAAAACCTAGACCTAGACGAGACCTTGCTTGAGTCGCAGGCCCCCGACCAGCAGAGCAGCTGGAACGAGGGCTTTGGCCTCAACGACTTCGAGGATATTGCAACCATTCGGAGAGGCCAGGGTTCACGGGCATTTAGGTTTTTAGGGTTTCAGTGTTGGGGATTTGCAAGGGTTTAGGGCTCAAAAAGGGTTTGGGGTTTAGAAGGGCCAGGGTTTAGGGGTATCTAGGGCTTCGGCTTTGGGTTTACAAGGAGGGTGCTGCGCCAAACAAACAGCTCGGACATGGCTGTTGTCAGGGTTGAGTGTTTGGGGTTTTTAGTTTCGGTGTTCAATGTCTCTAATGTGTACAGGACTTCTGCAAGCAGGTTGGGTATTGTGGAGGGATGCTCAGTGATGATCAGGGTTTAGGACTTAGGGTTCAGGGTGATCATGTGTTCTCTTGTAGTTGGGCTTCGTGGCCTCTTACATAATAAGCTTTGCTGGCTTTTGGCATTTCCTATGGGGCTGCTAGAATGTCGACCCAGGCCCGGTTTAGGGTTTAGGGTTTAGGGCTTAGGGTTTAGGGTTTAGGGTTTAGGGTTTATAGGTTTAGGGTTTAGGGTTTAGGGTTTAGGGTTTAGGGTTTAGGGTTTAGGGTTTAGGCTGCGGTCCTTGTGGGTTTAGGTTATTCAGGGTCCTGAGGGAGACAGGTTTTGCTCTGGGTGGGCGAATGGCCAGCGCGCACCACGTACCCTACGCGTCGCGGACGGAAGAAGCCTCCCTGAACCCTAAACCCTAAACCCTAAACCCTAAACCCTAAACCCTCTTCCTGAGGGCGGGGGGTGTTGGGCTCACAAGTTCTGCTCACAAGCCCCTTTTTCCTCCCGCCCGCAACCGCACCAGAGTTATAGAACCCCGCAGCCCTGAGAACCCTAAGGGCTAAGAACCCTAAGCCCTAAGAACCCTGAGCCCTAAGGACCCTAAGCCCTAAGAACCCTGAGCCCTAAGGACCCTAAGCCCTAAGAACCCTAAGCCCTAAGAACCCTAAGCCCTAAGAACCCTGAGCCCTAAGAACCCTGAGCCCTAAGGACCCTAAGCCCTAAGAACCCTGAGCCCTAAGAACCCTGAGCCCTAAGGACCCTAAGCCCTAAGAACCCTGAGCCCTAAGGACCCTAAGCCCTAAGAACCCTAAGCCCTAGCACAGGCCCTGGTGTTCTGGGCCAAGGAGGAGAAGGTGACTCCGACACCCTCACTCCCCCAACTCGAGTTGTGGCATTTTGGCATGGCTTCTTGCATTTTAGGGTTGAGGGTTGAGGGTTTAGGGTCTAGGGTTTGGGTTTAGGGTTTAGGGTTTAGGGTTTAGGGTTTAGGGTTTAGGGTTTAGGGTTTAGGGTTTAGGGTTTATGTAGGGGCAACAGCGGAAACAGCGACCACGCCGAACTGTCGGATTCAAGTGTTCTGGACTATGGGATTCTTGTAGGAATGTTTTTTCCGGCAAGGGTTCGCAACACATCATCGTTTCCCGCAAGCCTTTTGCAAGAACTTAGGGTTTAGGGTTTAGGGCTTAGGGACAATGACTTGTAGCTCTGCACCTAGTGTGCTGCGACAAGATTTTGCATCCCGGGGGGGTGTTCGGCGGGGACATATGGAATAAATTTGCCAAGCTTCATAGAGGGACGACCTCGCATAAGGCGGCACAAAGACATTCCGTAAGAAGCTGATCCCAGAGACCTCCAATATCCCTTTATTCAGGAACATACCTTAAGTTATAGTAGGATCCGTAATATGATTCAAGGTAAAATCCTTTATAATCCTTAATTCAGGGATATTGGAGTCACTGAGTGATCATCCGACGAGCTTCTGACCCACGTCCCCTCGCCTTGAAGTCCGAAACGCCAAGCTTGACTTGTTTAGGGGTTTAGGGGTTTAGGGTTTCAGGGTTTCAGGGTTTCAGGGTTTAGGGTTTAGGGTTTTTCTCGGTAGGCCCTTGGGACATTTCATACTTTCCCTTCTTGGGTTTAAGAGGATCATAGTCAGGAATATTCTTCAGAGGGTTCTATAAGGATCCCAGGTTCGATTCTAGTTTTGTGAGTATACTTAGGTGAAGTGTCGGGGGTTCCAGATCTCCATAATGCTCTGGAAGGAAACTCCCTCCAGCCAGGTGATGAGTTCTTCCAACCCGCAGATCTGCCCGAAGGTGCTGTTCCTATCCAGGGTTTTGGGTATAGGGTTTACAGGGTTTAGGGTTTAGGGTTTAGGGTTTAGGGTTTGAGCTTTTTGTGAGGGTCTGTTTCGGGTTCGGGCAATCCGATTTTGAGCTCTGAACTCTTCCGCAAGAATTCGCCGCCTCAGGCCCCTGCCAAACTCATGACTGCTGTTGGCTTGAGAACCCCCAACAAAATACTGGAGAATACTCTCTATATTCCCTTTATAGGGAAGAGAGCTCTCAAGCAACTAGTAGATGAGCTCTGAATCCCTGGCACATCGCTTAGGCCCTGGCGCCCCGAGCACGAAAGTCTGCCCAGGCAAATCTATAGCCCCTCGAGCCCTTGTCTTCCTTCGCCTTTAGTTGAACTTTAAACTTTTTGGGTTTCCATATTTAGTACGAGCATGAAAGTTTAACCTATTTTCCTCTTGGTTATTGGAGAAGTAAGTTGTAAACCCAATCGCCCTAAAGCCTAACCCAAACCCTAAGCCCCGAATCCTAAACCTAAACCCTAAACTATCTAAACCCCAGGCCATCTAAACTCGAAGCCATCTAAACCTTAGACCCTAAAACCTAGACCCGTACACCCTAAACTAGCCTACAAACCCTCCCCAAAGTAAGTCGGAGCTGCCTTGCCGAAAAGAACTAGCTCGACTTCTTGAAGTCGAGACCTTCCCAAGACCCTCGCCCTTGTTTTGTTGCTTGATTTCCATGTCTTCTGGAGTTGAAGCTTTGGGGCTTAGGGGGTAGGGGTTTCTCCAGGAGCGCAGGGCTACGGCTCTGCGAGGCGTGGTGGGTTTGTCGTAGGGTTTGGCGTAGGGCTTGGGGGGTTTAGGGGTTTCGGGGTTTGGGGGTTTAGGTGTTTAGGGGTTTAGAGGTTTAGGGTGTTGGGGTTTTCGGGGGTTCAGGTTTTAGGGGTTTAGGGCTTCAGGGGCTAGATGGTTCAGAGCAAGGGTTTGGGGAATTGTGAGTTTGGGATTGGGGGTTCAGTCTTGAACTCCGGCCTTTAGGGCACCCAACCCCATAGATTCACTTGCAATCAACACTGCTTAGGTTGCCGGGATCGAATACAAAAAGCAAGGGTTGCTTGTCAGTGTGCGAAAAGACTTGTTGTGTGCTTGTCGACAGGAAATCCTAAGCTCCGGCAAAACAAACCATGGTCACCACCCACGCCTCCCCCAACAAAAGCTTCCCTACACCCCAACCCCTAACGCCTAAACCCACAATCCCAAGCCTTCCCTACCTCCAAAACCCCCTGAAGGGAAAGGCATCAAGGCTTCGTCATGGTGTGCATCTTTAGTGAGTCTGGTTCAGGGTTTAGGGTTTAGGGTTTAGGGTTTGGAGACCCTTTAAAAAAACATAGACCACCCTGCAGGCCCACGTCCGACGCTGACGCCCGCGCGCCCGTGCCTGGCGAAGCAGGAGCTGCCCTACTAGGTCCTGTAGAACCCCACTAAACCCTAAACCCTAAACCCTAGACCCTAGACCCTAAACCCTAAACCCTAAACCCTACACCCTTGGGAGATTAGGGGAATTTATCAAGAGGATGTTTCTAAGTATTCTCAGAAGGTTCCAAGGGCCAACCTTGTTGTGGGACATGGCTTACAGGGCCTATATGCCATAAACCCTAACGCCTACAGCCTGTGCAAAGCTCTTAAACACTATAAACCCTAAACCCCTAAACCCTACTACTACAGCCCTAAGCCACACGCTGAACCTTGCTGCGTAAGGACATAAGGGAGGGAGGTTGCTGGTCATCCTGCGAGGTTTCTTGGACTATCTAGGGTTGAGTTGGTTTACCCTAAACCCTAAACCCCAAACCCCAAACCCTAAACCCTAAACCCGAAACCCTAGCCCTAAACCCTCAACCCTCAGCCCTCAACCCTCAGAACTTCGAGCGCGCGGCTGCTTAATCCGAGGAGCGCCCTCGCCCTCCGCCCCGGCCGCATCTTCCTCCGAGCCGGCCCGAGTCCCGGAACAGGGCTCTTGGGACTCTCAACTGCTTAGTAGCTGAGTGAACACACTTTACACTTTTTTGGGATACTAGTTTCCCCTATAGAACTGAAAGGGTACACTTTTTGGGGGCTTATGAGCTCAGAAACTGAGGCTGGGTCCTTGTTGGTTGTAATGTTACGTTTTTGTCATAATATTAACTTCCGAATAAGGAATAAAGATGACTATGTCAAGTATAAGCCCAACAAGGAAGCAGTAAACCGTAAACCCTAAACCCTAAAAACCCTACACCGCATGGACCTAAACCCTTAAACCCTATACCCTATAGGCCTAAACCTTTGGAGAAAAGCGCTTGTATGCGACAAGTAATGTCGGACGGAAGTGACAGCCCGCTTAGGGTCCAACCTCCTCAGTTCCTAAACCCTACCTACTAGGGTTTACCCTAAAAACCTTCACCCCAAAACTCTAAACTCCCGACTTCGGGATTTAGGGTTTACCCTCAACCTTCACATTTTTAACCTCTTAAAACTCCTGACTTGGGGCACCTCCTTTGGGGCCTCCTGGGGTGCTTATTAACCAATTACAACTGTACTTACAACTGTACTTATAACCATAGTAGAGCTTATATGTCGGTTATACAGTTCTAATTGGTTGACAAGTACCCCTAAACCCGAAACCCTAAACCCTAAACCCTAAACCCTACTGGGTTCATAAGTACCATGAACCTCCAAGTACTATATAAGGCTGGAGCGAACGCCGGCACTCGGCCGCCAGGAGCCCATATGGACCATTAGGGTTAAGGGTTTAGGGCTTAGGGCTTAGGGCTTCGGGTAGTTTAGGGTTTAGGGTTTAGGGTTTGATGTAGTTTAAGGTTTAGTGTAGTTCAGGGTTTAGGGCTTTGGGTTCAGGAGCTCAGGTCTTTTGGGGGGTGGAGGGTAGGGGGTTACGGCTTGGCTAGAGAGGGCGGCGGGCTTGAAGGTGTTCATCATCAGGCTGGGCTTGAAGCTGTCGGGCTATTGTTGTAGTAGCTCATTTTTCGGGCTTTCGGGGGTTTCAGGGTTTACATGGTAAACCCTAAGCCCCAAACCAGTTGATCGATTTCCATGTGACACATTCGAACTAACTTGGCCCCAAACACATCAAGTGAAGGAGGGGGCTCAACCCAACTTCAAAAGACCCTGCTCAGTACACGCAAGTTAGGTTGCTACTATTTGCTTAAGCCCAAGCCCCCCCCCCCCCCCCCAAACCAATTATTACGATATTGCCCTTATCAAGGAATGCTAGATTGAGTTTCTCTCGGGGGCTGCTAAGCCCCCTAAACCCTAAACCCTAAACCCTAAACCCTAAACCCAAAAACACCCTAAGCCCCAGAAAAGTACGTTAGGTCGTGGCAGCAGCCAATATCTCTCTTCTTCTCAGGAACATGGAAAAGGCATCCGGCAGCTTGCAGCTTGAAGCCCGAAAATGCCCTAGAGGCCCTAAATCCCTGCAAACCCTACACCCTAAACCCTAAACCCTGAACCCCAAACCCCAAACCCTAAACCCTAAACCCTAAACCCTAAACCCTAAACCCTAAACCCTAAACCCCAACCTCTTGCAGCTTTTGTGGTGGCGATTTTCCGCGCCATGGCTGCCACTGAGGCGGTCATCGGACGAACCGCCGGCCACCACCTCCACGGATGGACTGCGCACCCACAACAAATCGCGTTTAGAGGGGTTTAGGGTTTTGGGTTTAGGTTAAGGCCCTAACCCCTGCCCAACAGAACTTACTCTGCAACTTTGACTGGTACTCATAGTTCTGTCACATTTGACGCCCTGAAGCCCCTAAGGTTGTGCGAGTTTTGTTCAGGAGGAAGGACCACTTTAGTGCCCTTAGTCTCGGGCTTGTCAAATCTCGGGGTGATCGGGAGCCGAAAGCTTGCAGCTCTTGCAAGCAGTCCAGGAGAGCCCTTGTGAAGAACGAACCTCACTGTGTCTAAGGGTAGTTTCATAGGCCCTTAATATGGTCCCTTGCCTCCTTCAAAGGGTTCTGAAGTATGGGCCTTTAATTTGTAGAGGATATATAAAGGGTATATAAGGGGTCCCCTTTTAAGGGCCCATGTTAAGGGACCATGCAAAGTAACCCTAACTATGGTACAGATCAGGTCTCTGCGCAAACAGTGCTTGGCACTCTCTCATTGCAGGAGGTGCCGGGCAAGCATCCAGTTCGCAGGACGGATATGCCTTTGCACATCTGTGGACTCCTCAAAGGTGTGCCCAAACCTGACTGCCCATGGAACGGCGGGGATTGAAGTTCAGGGGAGAGGCTGAGAGGCTGCGAGATTCGGACCATTTGGACCAGAGGACGAGTTCCGTTGACGCATGTATGATTACCTCAGCACTAGTCTCCTATGAGATGTCCGTCCATCCACACTTACATGCAGGTTTGGTCTCGTCGCCTGTTGTTCTTGGTAGCCCAGTGGTACGCTTGTCCCTTTTGTGGTTCAAGGTTCCCCTATAAGCGTAACCAACCCAAAAAGGGGTGCCCTCATTATGATATGGTCACTGGATATGGTCACTGCGCTACCAAGGTTTCATAGCCTGTTCTTCCCGAGTTTTGCGAAGGAGGCGCCAGCAGCCTCCGCGCCACAGCCGCTTTGCCCTCAGTCTTGGCTCGCGACGTCCTAGAAGCACTTGCCCACCCAAACCCTAAACCCTAAACCCCCTAAATCCTAGACCCTAAACCCTAAAACCCCGAACCCTAAACCCTAAACCCCAAACCACCCCTTCTCCTCTTTTTCAGAACGAGGTCGGGTGCGTCACCCCCTGAAGAGCCAGAGGCGCGACTGAGGGCTGGTAGGGTCTGGGGAATCCGGTACTGTGTTTGATTTAATTAGGGTTTAGGGTTTGGGGTCTTCTCGTTTAGGGTTCAGGGTTTCGGGTTTAGGGTGAGTGTAGAGACTCTATAGTCCCATTGAAGGGTCTGTCTGAGCATGTATAGTGCAAGTTTGGTGTTCGTGTAAACAATTCATTGGCAAGCTCCAACAAGGTGAGTCAGAGCTGAGAATGCCTCGATCAGAAAATTGCACAAACAACACTAGGGATCAGAAAATTGCACAAACAACAGTAGGGTTTGCGCTGTGTGCGGTGTTTGGGCATTCAATGCTGCAGTTCCTGCATCCTTTCTTGACATTTCCTTTTTTTACCGAAGTAGTAGCGTTCTCTCCTATGGTCCAGTCTAATTTCAGGCAGGCCGGTGCTCCGAGCATGGGGATGCCTCTTCTAACCTACACCCTGAGCTTCCCCCGCCCCTTTCTCCAAATTTGAGACCTTGAAGCTAAGAAGGGCTACAGAATAGGTTAAACCTAAACCCAAATCCTAGACCCTAACCCCAGCCTTAACCAATCCAACCTCAAAGCCTTTGAAGCCACGCCTTTCGATTCAGACTTGTTAGGGTTTAGGGTTCAGGGTTTAGGGTTTGGGGTTTAGGGTTTAGGGTTTCGGAGCTTAGTGATTGGGCCTTCGCGGCAACGCGATCAGAGTCAAAGCGCAACTTGGCCTGCGCCGTGGCAGGAAGAGGAAGCGGATGACTTCGACTGGGAGGGCGAGGACGCTTGTGATCCCTACAAGGCGCCGAGGGTTGGGAGCGCCAGAGGATTCCTAGCTATTGCGGCCCTTGGGCTCTCTCTCTCTCTCTCTCTACATATATATATATATGTATACGCACATATACCTATATCTCTACATGATTTATGTATACATATATATATGTATATGTATATATGTATATATGTATACCATATCAAATCTTCCCTTAATGGGTGTGGTTAAGAGGCTCATATCTAGGAATCTTTTTTCGGAGGGCTTTAAGGGGATGCTTCTCAGCTCCTCAGGCCCAGGAGTTGCTAAGTTCCTTGTCTCATGGCGTTGGGCGCACGCAAATAATCGTGGGAGTTGGCCTATTCTTCAAGGCTTGTTGCTCTTTTGGGTTTAGGGTTTAGGGTTTAGGGTTTAGGAGTTTAGGGTTTAGGGTTTAGGGTTTAGGGTTTAGGGTTTGGGGTTTCGGGTTGTGATGTTTTTGTTTTTCGTGGGCTGGGGGAGGGGGCAGGAGGGCGTGTTGTAGCCCAGGTCCTGCGTGTCGAGAAGGATGCTGATGAGGAGACCATCAGGCGGCCAGCGTTCACATCGATGGTATTCGCAAGACTATCGGGGGTCAGGAATAGAATCGTAATAGTTGTAGAATTAGTCATTGCCAGAGAAACCCACGTGCAGTATCTGATTCAGAGCTCGGTTTCATTAGGCACCTAATGCTCCAACATGCCCATAGTCAAAACACACCTGGGGTTTTGGGGCTAGAGGCCTATTGCTCTGACAATGACGATGACAAGTGCTGGTACAATTGCTATGGCCCATGACTTACTACTAACTTGCTGTACATACCGCTTACTACATGTGGATTGGGAAGTTCCCCCCTAGACTAACAGTCCTTAACCGGGATTATAGTACCACAATTACAATTGCCGACTCCGACTTCGGTAGTCAGAATATCTTTCAGACTAGTTTCATTAAGATAAGAACTGCTAATCATAACGGTTCTTCTGTTGATGTACTTACTACTGGAACGATTTTTTGCTTCTGTGAGTATTAGTGGTAATCATCATAGCTGACGAAGCCTGTGTCCCAGCAGTAAGCACCGCTTAGTGCCACGAGGCCAAGCGAGGGCTTACCCTAAGGGTCCATGTACCTAAATAGGGAATACGAGGTACTGGACCTTTAGGGTTTAGGGTTTAGGGGTACCCTAAACACCAAAGCCCAAACAGACAACCCCTTGCCTAAACCACCCCCTCCCCCCGTAAACCCTAAACCCTAAACCCCAAACCCTAAGCCTTAAACCCTAAACCCTAAACCCTAAACCCTAAACCCTAAACCCTAAACCCTAAACCCTAAACCCTAAACCCTAAACCCTAAACCCTCCCCTGGCAGCCCATTTTTGAACATCTTGGGTTTCCTTGGCGTAGGGGGCTTCCGGCGTCCCACAGGCGATCCTACAAGAAGCTTGCCTTGAAGTACCACCCAGATAAGAACCGAGGCACGGACGTAGGGCTTTAGGTGTTTGCATTCATGTGGTTCATGGGGCTTAAGGAGTTGGTCGCGGATTGAAGGTGTTTAGGTTCAGGGTTTGGACATTCAATGCAGTAGCTTTTGCAGGGATATGGACTTGGGCGTAGACCTTCAGGGTTTAGACTTAAGGTGTAGAAAGGTAGAGTGATATAGCAAGCTAGATTTGAAGACTATTGGAGGCTTTCAGAAACCAGGTTTGGGGCTTGTTGTAGCGGATTCAGTGTCAGACTCTTGAGCGAAGGCAGGAGAATAGATGAGGAGTCGACCTATCGACAAGGGTGTCGAGAGACGACCCTAAACCCTAAACCCTAAACTCCAAACCCCAAACCCTAAACCCTAAACCCTAACCCCTAAGCCCTAAACCCTAAACCCTAAACCCTAAACCCTAAACCCTAAACCCTAAACCCTAAACCCTAAACCCTAAACCCTAAACCCTAAACCCTAAACCCTAAACCGCTTCGCGTCTTTAGAGCGCAGGGGTCAGCCGAGATTCTGCCAAGCATATTTTAGGATCTCATCAAGCCGCGAGCCTCTTGAATGGAGCCCCTCACGAAGGTTCCCCCCAAAAAACAAGGATGAATCGCCTGACAGTTTCAGGTGTGATGCATGCAAACCACCCCCCAACTCCAAACACCTAAGCTGTAAACCCCGAACCCTAATGTCCTAATCCCCTGACCCTTAACCCTAAACCCCAAAGTCTTAGACCATTGACCCTTAAACCGGAAAACCCTTGAGGCCTCAACCCTACATCCTAAGCCCTCTTTTTGTCGAGTGGCCATGAAGCCATATAAGTCATGCAGGCAGCGACAGCGCCCTGACAAGATTTCAGGCCCGAGCCAGCCTCAAGCAGTCTTCGGCTGTGTAGGGTGCCTAGGGTTTTGGGTTTAGGGTATGTAAATCCCTTTAAACGTAATCCTCAAACGCCTTCCTGTTCCCGAGTTTCCCCTTTTTTTAGGGTTTAGGGTTTATAGGGTTGAGGGCTACTAGGACCCAGAGAAGACCCTTATTCTCTTTTTAGGGCTTCGGTTCCTTCTAAGCCCCCTTTTACCAACAAGCACGTCCAAATTTTCTCCTAGCTTACTCCTGTGTCTAGTCGGTATTATGGTTTTCTCACCGTTACACATATCAGTTATTCCTACCACTATGGTTACTGTCATCCTTGTACTACTATTGGTAATATTCTTACTGTTATTACGATTTTGATCATCCCCCACTTGTATCCTCTAGAATGATGGATTGCTTCCGGAAGCCGGGGGGGGGGGGGGGGGCGACTTGAAAGGTCCCCTCAAACATTAATGGGGCACTTGAATAGATAAATGTCCTACACTGCCTGAAATACCAATTCTACTTGATCCACGATGTTGTGCGTTTTTTAGGGTCCCAGGGTAATTATGTCGAAGGCGCAATACAGCAATGCTTTCTGAGCTATGGGGTTGAGGGTTTAAGCAGGATCTAAAGATGATTCTGTCGAGACATGATCGCAGAGACGCAGAGACGCACATGCCCGAGTCGTCCATGATCCGTCAATGGCGTTTAAAGAGACTTTAGGTTTGTAGGTTTAGGACTTTCTGAGACTAGGGCTTTCAGGTTTAGAGGTTTCGGTTGCGGGCTAGGGCTGTAGAGCCTGAACCTCAAACGCTTGAAGCTTCAGAGTGCAAGATCGCAGCAGACAGGCGATATCCGCAGCCTACGACATCTTGCGAGATCCGAGAAGAGGTGGCACAGGGCAAAGAGATTGAGTTGCCTTTTGAGTTGCGTCTTATCCTAAAGGCCATATTCAATTCCCTTGAAGTTCCTTTCATACTTCTATGAACTTCTCCCAACAGATAAAAGACCAAGTTCGCTTGTCTTTTACTCGTTCTTGGTTTATTTGCAAGGCTTGTGAATCAATGGACCAGAAGTGATGATTATGTTATTACAGTCAACTGAGTCAACTTTTGTGCTCTTCTTCGCTAGGCATGAAACTACTGAGCTAGCTATACACTTCATTTATGCTGCCATCTTCTTCTCTTTGGTGCTTTATTGCTGGTGTCCTTTCCTTGACGTGCTTGAAAGCTTGAGGGCCTCTGGGTTTAGATGTTTCTGCGACGTTCGCTGCACCTGAGCGGACTCATCTCAGCAGCTTGGTGATGTTCTCTGCTGATGCTACGTGGATTTTGCCCCCAGAATTCCCCGATGCATCCGTGGTGGGGGCAGGAAGGCATACGACGCGGCAGCTGCGCGAGCGAAAGCCCAGAAAAGCAAGGCACCGGCGTGAGACCAGCAGTTAGGAAGGGTCAGCCCAAATTCTAGTACTGGTAAAGGCAAGAACTAGCGGCTTATAAGCCCGAAGTACCCCCCCGCGCCCCACCCCCAAGCCTGAAAAGCTTGTCGGGCTTTCCTGATTCAGCCCCAGCAGCCAAACAGCCGGCACGCTGAAGATTGAACCCGGCGGGACCTTCAAACTACCCTTCAACCCCTCCGAAGCCCAAAACTCTTGCAGCCTAGCTTACCAAACCCCTCCAAACTCAAATTTCAGAAAGCCCCTTCTTTGCTATGCAGCCTGCTCCAGGAATCACAGCCGAGACCGCCCTCCATGTCCCTCGGTCTTCCTTTGGTAGGTCGTGGAGCTAAAAAAGCTGAGCAGGCGGGTTTAGGGCTTAGGGTTTAGGGTTTAGGCACCTAAATCGTTTGGGCTTGGGGTGGGGAGTCCAGGGGGTCCGGTGAAGGGGGGAGGGGGGGGGGGGTGTTGAATCCATTGTAGGGCTTTGTTGGAAGTCGCATTCCTTGTCTCCAGACCGACATGGTCGTGGATCAGCAGAGAGAAGGTCCCAAACGGAAAGAGTGCACAAGCAAGAGCAGCAGAGCCGACATCTTGGAGTTACCAAAACAAACAGCCATGAGTCGCAACCAATGTGCGTCCGAACGGAGTATGACGCCGCCGCCTGATATACTGTTGAACATTTCCATCTCTATGTACACATATATATACATGTATATACATATATTTGAAAAAGGATGACACTGAGTACGGCCCAGTCTCGCCTGTCAAGAACCCACCCAAAACATCCGAAGGCACAATTCCCAGGCTAAGGGCCAGATAGCACTTTGTGTACTTCATCTTTGGGCTTGGTAGCCCAGTGTTACCCTTTACCTTTTTTGGTTATGGGTTCCCGCATAAAATAACCAACCCCAAAAGGGTGCCCTTATTATATGGTTGCTGGGCTACCAAGAATCTGAACGAAGACAACCCACCACCCTCTCCGAGGTCTGCGGAAGAGGCACGCGAAGTGCGGCTTGGCTTCAAAGACTTTCATACTTAAGGTACCCACACCTCTCAAAGGCACGGCTGTGAGTACTTGCGGGTCTAGGTACAGGGAACACAGGAGCGAAAGGCAGCTGGGTGTTCGAACTCCAGCTCTGGGTCTGTATGGATTTCGGCGGTTTGGAGCGAAAGGGCTTCGATTCGATGTAGGGTAGGGCCTAGGATTGAAACCCGAAACCCTAAACCCAATTAGGGTTCAGGGCTTATACTCAGCCCTGGTATAGGCGGCGCGTGCAAAGATGTGGACACAACGATGCAGGTTCAGAACTTCTTCGGCGGCCAGGACCCTTTCGACAGAGCTGCCTGGCTGCAGGCACAACATAGTGTAACGCAAGGCGCACAACCTGAAAGGCAAGCAAAAGGGCGGAGAGCCCCAACGTCTAAACCCCTATACATCCTACATGAGCCGGAGGTTTTAAGAAGTGTGGTATTCTCCGCACTGCCCTTCGTTGCCTACTAAAAACATAGCCCGCAACACTGCACCCTAGACCCCATAAGAGGGTTCCCAGACCTTGCGTTTGGACAGGACTGTGAGCGAGGTTCCTCCGCACTCGGCTCCCTCGCGATCAGAGGCGCCAAGAAGATTTGCCTTTCTGGGGGGGGGGGGGGGGGGGAGAATCTCATAAGGAACCCTCTGGACATATAATTGACATATAACGGGTTGCCCATAGGGGTGTAGGGGCGTGACATAAGGAGCACCCTAAACCCCAAACCCTAAACCCTAAACCCTCTAAACCCTAAACCCTAAACCCTCACAGGGCACCAGTTCTTGGAAGGTTTCGAGAGGCACCTTGTGCTTGTTGGGCTTCGGGGTCTTGTGTTTCCGGGTTTGGGGATTAGGGTTTAGAATACCTTGATTGAACCCTGAAACCCTGAACCCTGAACCCTGAACCCTAAACCCTAAACCCTAAACCCTAAACCCTAAACCCTAAACCCTAACTCGTGGAGATTTGGCAGGGTGCCGCGTCCTCGTCGCGTGATGCCTTCACCGTGCGCAGCAGCGCGCCACCTGAGAGCTCGGCTGCAGGACAGCCAGGGGTTATCAGGGTTTGGCCCGTTTAGGTTTAGGGTTTAGGGTTTGGGGTTTAGGGTTTAGGGTTTAGGGGCTTACCGTAGGCCTCGAAGGACTTGCTAGGGTCCCCAAGAACCCAACGCTGAGCAACTGGAACTGTAGGGTTAAGAACTTTGAGATGGCGATCTTGTTTGGAAGGAACGGAGTTGGGTTTGGTGTGGTTTCGGCAGTTGTTTCGTCGGACGGACACCATGAAGCAGTTTTGTTCAGCACGAAACCGGGTTGGATGCCTTGACAGACCTGGTCCTATCCCAAACCCTCGACATCTCTCAACTCTCAAACCCTGCATGTGGCCTACAGCCCCAGAAATTGGAATACGAACTGTCCTAAAAAGGGATTATCGTTCCATTCCCCAACTATAAGGGGGGAGCATCCCAACGCCCTAAACCCTAACCTTGAACCCCAAACCCCAAACCTCAAACCCTAAACCCTAAACCCATCCCAAACAGGCCCGCCGCGGAAGACCCAGCGGCTGTCTAAGGAAGAGTGCGCCCGAGGATGTTCATCTGGGGGAGCTCCAGGTGTTAGGAGGGTTAGAGTCTAAGGCTAAGGGTTTAGGGTTTAGGGTTTAGGGTTTAGGGTTTAGGGTTTAGGGTTTAGGGTTTAGGGTTTAGGGGTTAGTGCGTGAAGCATCCTGGCCGCTCAGGTGGAGACGTTGTTGCGTTACCGAGGCTGTCTTTTGTTCGAAAAAATCGAGGCGCGATCCGAGGGTCTAGGATTCAGACTTAGGCTGCCTAAGCTTTCTGGTCCCCGTAGGGTTCTGTATTTCACGTAGGTTATCAGCCGGTAGTAGGTTCTAGGGCTGTGAGCTTTAAGATAGGCCTTTTCTTTAGGGTCCGGCACTTAGTGCGGGTGCTGTGACGCCATGGATTCCTTTACACGTCAGCGAAGGGGCTCTGGAGGAAGGGATATCGAGGTCCCTGCTGGAGCTTCTGAGCCAGATTATCAGGCAGCCTTGGGCCAAGAGGACAGCGAGCAACAGCCTGCACCTGTACGTCTGGGAGAAATGTCTCCGGGCATGTTGGAGCAGGGCGGGGTTCCGGCAGAGCCGGAGACGCCTGCCAACTTGTTTGTGGCAAGTCCTTTTCATTCTGAGAAGGTGAAATCAGAAGTGGAGCTTCTCAGATCGAGACCGGCGACGTTGGATGATGACGGAAGGCGTGCTGGAATCGATTACGATGAGGCAGCTCTTGGAGATTCGAGCTTTTTGAGTGGCGGCAGGGAACCGGACTATAGCTTAGCTGGCCATGGACCTCGTGGAGGAGCTCCTAAGCTGGCCCGAGTGGAGATAGCAGGCGAGCATGCTGTTGAGCAGTCTGGTGAAGCCGAGGAGCAAAAGCCTGGCATAGTTGAGGTGCAACCTGAGACTGGGCGAGGCTGGGAAATTACTGGCAAGGGGCGGGGTGCAAATCCGAGGGATGGATCCGCGAGCACTTTTGCTGGTGAGAAACCGGGAGCTTCAGACGCTCGAGAGCTCATTCCTGACTCTGGTTTTTCCAGGATGGAACAGATGATGTTGCAAGTGATGCAGGAGAATGCTGCACTGCGGCAGAGACTGGAAGCGGTGGAGTCTCAGTCAAGCGGCCTGAGTGGAGGAACCTGTGTGACAGCGCTCGAAGCTCAGGTCAGTTCGCCGATGTCTTTCGCTGGGAATGTACAGAGTTGCGTGGCCGCGCCACGAGAGAATCGTCTTGTACAGATGCCGAGTGCGTTTCCGGGCAACGATTTCCAAGGTTCTGAATTGTCAAGGGGGTGGTTTGAGACTGCTAGGGTAGCTCAGCCTCCTGGCATGTGTCCGCCGCCTTGTGGAGCTTTGGTTGGGAGTCCCACCGAGCGGGGTGGGTCGGGTCAAGGTTTCGAGTTCTGTAGGGTTAGGCATGAAACTTCGGTGCCGTTTATGCCTGGGATTAGGTCACCACCCCCTAGGCCGCCCAGTGTACCCCTTCGGACTTTGGTTGAAAGGGATGAAGGGTGGGGATCAGGGACTCAGACTTTGGGACAGTTCGCTTCGTTTGCTTTGGCGTCAAGGGAGGGTCAGGGTGAGTCTGGCTATCATACACCAAGATCCGTAGGAGCTTCGGGGTTGGCTGGGTTCAGTTCTGATGGATATCCGCTGTCGCCGGGTGGTACTGTCATCCGACCTCCGCCAGGGCCTCCCCCAATGTCACCTCGAGGGGTTCAGGCTTATGGATCCGGGCACTTGGGAGCAAATGCTGCTGAATGTGGGGTGATGTCCGGGGGTTCCCGGGGTCCAGGATATTTGGCTGGCGTTGAGGATTTTGCGCGTGGGGAAAAGGGGATACCGAGTCAAGGCGTTCCAGGGTCTTCTCCCACTGTTGCAGAGGGGATCTCGTCCTTTAGCGCTCCTGGGGCATTTCCTGAGGAACCAGCGAAGTACATTATCGACCTGCCTAAGCTTGCTGCTGCTGACTTGACCACTAGCGCCGTAACATGTGGCAACTGGCTTGCGCAGACACGCCAGGTTTTCGCGGGGCTTTCGCCGTCAGCGTCTGTTTGGTTCAGCTCGGTTGAGGGCGCGGCTAATGCAAGCTATCAGCGTTGGCTTGTAGCAGATCCGTTGGAACGGTTAGCTCTCGATCCCTCCACGGTTGTTGCTCACTATGATGCCGTCAAGTACCAGCGCGTAGAAAGTAGGGCAGTATCGTTGCTGTTGTCGTGTGTCCCTCAGAGTTTCAAGGATGAGCTAGTTACTAACCGCTGGATGACAACTGCTTCCATACTGTATCGGATTCTTTGCGTTTACCAACCGGGGGGCAGCACGGAGAGGGCGTACCTCCTTTCGCGTCTTGTTCAGCCTGATCCATGCAAGTCATTTAAGGATGCGATTTCAGGATTGAGGCGATGGCAACAGGATCTGATCAGGGCACGGGAGATACAGGCAACCCTCCCGGACCCCAGTCTACTTCTGAAAGGGATAGATGCTGCTACCAGCTCTCTTCTAGCTCTTCAGCCAATGGTGGCGTTCCGAGTTAGCGTGTTTAGGCATAAAAGCTCAATCGACTACAACCCGTCGGTAACGGGGGTTACGCAGCTGGTGAAACTCATTCAGGCTGAGTGCGAGTCTCTAGCCATGACTGTTGAGTCTCCTCCGGATAAAAAGGCTAGAGCTGCTGCTGCTGCTGCTGCTGCCGCTGCGAAGGCCCCAGAACCCAAGCTTCCCAGCACATCTGCATCTTCTCAGACGCCGAGTCCCACTGTGGCAGCGGTATTTGGAGAGGCGGATGCTGGTAAAGGTAAGGGTAAGTCCTCGAAGGGTTCTGGTAGTACGGTTGAGTGTTTCAGGTTTGGTGACGGTACCGGGTGTCGCTTTGGGGATAGCTGTACTTTCAGGCACGATAGGGCTAAAGCTAGAAGGCAAAGTAGGTGCTTGGCTTGTGGTCAGAGCGGACACTACCGGCCGGACTGTCCGATTGTCCCAGCAGAGCTCAGACCGGTGCTGCCAGAGGGTGGATCGCCAAGCGCCAAGGGTCCTCCTAGCCCTAAGAAATCAGAGGCGAAGCCTAAGCCGAAGTCCCAGCCTCAAGCGAAGGGTATATCTGAGGATGCACCCTCTGGAAGTGCCGGTGCCAGGAATTCTGAAGCCTCTAGTGCTTCGGGCGCCAAGGAAGCCTTGTTTGCTGAAGCAGCCAAGCTTTTGCAAGGTGCAAGCGCAAAGGTTTTGAGGGTTGGCGAGTGGAACATAGATGAGACTTGGCTCTGTAGCGCTGTGAGTGCATCCAATCTTGAGTATGCCTTGATTGACTCTGGTGCCACAAACGCCTTAAGGTTTGCTTGTTCTGAGGAGCTTCGTGGGGCTGAGTCCATTCGGGTTGATCTGGCATCAGGTGTCACTGAATTGCACGTCAACGAGTATGGGACCTTGCTTAGCCCTGTTGATTGCCAGCTCATATTGCCTGCCGGGTACTTAGTCAGTATGGGTTACCGTATCTCTTGGGGGAAGAAGGGTTGTAGAATACGGCATCCCAAACTCGGAGAGCTTGAGGTGAGTGTGGTGAAGGGATGTCCTTTGGTACCTAGGGAACTTGGGATGCGGCTTCTGGATCAGTATGAAAAGTTTAGGGCAGGGTCTCGTTCGGTAAAGGGATTGACATGCTCTGAAGCTGGGGAACAGCTTAACGCGAAAAAAGTGAAGATGTGGTTAAGGGATCAACTGAAGCAGTCGGCTGCCGGTTGCTAGATCGGGTTACTCAAGTGAGCCTTTTGAGGAGTGTGTTTCCTGGGATCTCGGATTGGGTTCTAGAGAGGACGGTAGTTGATCCGGAAGATCCCTTTGCGGGTTGCCAGGGTGTTGCTCCTTGGAATCGCAGGCTTAGGAGGAGTGTTGATCGGGATACGCAAGGGTCGGTACTTCTTCGTGTTGGGGCTGTAGGCGACAAGTGGAAGGGTCCTGGACGAGTAGTAGAGCTTCGGAGGGACTTCGGTAGTGATCTCGGGATTGTGCCGGTCTTCCTTCAGGTTCTAAAGTGGGCTCAGTCTGGTGTTCTTGGAGGAATTGTGGCTGCTACCGAAGAAAAGGGTTTCGAACTGGGAAGTAGTCTTTCGGACAGTGAAAAGGAAGCTGCGTTGAGAAAGCAGGTATCATGGTTCAGGTTATGCTTAGTGTATATGGTGGCGCAGGCAGCTGCTGAGAACACTGCTTGTGAAGTTACCGAGCCGCGTGAGCCTGCTGGGGAGGGCGAGTCAGGGTCCGGAGAGCCTCCTCAGGGTCTTGATGATCCTCATGAAATAGCCTTGTGGGCTTTACGGAGGGCCGCTGTCAAGCTTCAGATGTCGGTTGAGCCGGAGTTGAGTGACCTAAAAGGGGGGCCCCGAGCTGCAGAGAGTCCGCCTGTATGCAGAGGTGGTCGGACAGAGAGGGCTGTCTTCTTTGTCTTAGAGGGGTCCTTTGATGGGTTGACTAGGCCTGAAGAAGTGGAAGGGCTCCGTGAGGCATATGGGTTGTACCGGGTATCTTTTGATCAGGGATGTCTGGGAAATTTGGCGCGGGATTCCACTGTCCTTGTGACCTCTTCGTGGGATGTGTTCGAGAGCCTACATGCCCTGCGGGTTCCGGAACATATTCAAATGCCTGAGTCTTCGAGGATCAATGGGAGTCGGGTTTGGGCTCCAGGTTTGATTGGGTGTGTTAAAAATGCTTGGGAGAAGTGCCGACGTAGTAGGCTTGAAGTTGGGGACCTGAGTGAGCGCCGAGCTTTGTTGGCGAAGCTAACCGAAGAGGAGAGTCTTCGTAGGCATAGGGCCAACGATCATATCCCTTTTAGGAGGGGGTGTGGTGACTGCATAGCTGCTCAAGGTCGCCAGCGGAGTCATTGGCGATCTCGGATCACCACCTTGTACTCTTTGAGTGTCGACATTGCTGGACCGTTCAAGGATGGTCGCAGTTTTGACCCGATTGCGTCTGGCAGGGATCGTGGACGTGGCTATAAGTACTTCATTGCTGCAGCGTACTCGATACCCTTGAGTCCCGAGTTGCGACCTGATTTGAGTCCTCCGGATGATCTAGCTGAGTATTGTCCTTCTGAGTGTGAGCAAGAAGCTGCAGGGGTAGGACCTATAGCAGATGAGGCGTCTGAGGATTGCTCTGAGTGGCTGGACGGGGTACATGAGCAGATTGCTGGAGGGTTCTCTAGTAAGGCCTTGTTCCGTAGGGTAAGAGGCAAGACGTTCCCTAGGGTTGATCCGTTACAAGACGGAGCTGAGTTTGCAGAAAGAAAGGCTCCTGGCCCTGATTTACCGGGGAACGCTGCAGACGGGGCAGAAGAGGAGCCGAAAGTCGTCACGAAAACCCTTTTTCTTGGGATTCCGTTGCGCACCAAGCGTGGCTCTGAAGTCATGGGACAGGTTCAAGCTCTGGTCAACAGGTTGGAGTCGTTTGGGTACCCTGTTCACCGCTACTTCGCAGACCGTGCTAAAGAGCTGAGGAGCCATGCTTTGATTCAGTGGCTTCGAGAACGCGGCATTCGTGCCTCATTTACCGCAGGAGAGGATCCTGCTGGAAATAAGGCAGAGGCCAGTGTCCAGCGGTTGAAGCAAGATGCCAGGAAACTCCTTCGCGTTGCCGATCTGCCAATCGAGTTTTGGCCATTTGCTATTCTTCATGCTTCGCAAAGACACTTTGTGCAAATGGCTGAGGCTTTGGGTGTGGGACAGGCTGTCCTTTTACCGTTTGGGGTATGGTTGCATGCGCGAAAGCGTTTGAAGTCGGGTCATAAGAAGCATTGGGAGACACGAACTGTTCCGGGCAAGTACCTGGGGGTTGCAACTGATTGTGCTGGTGGGCACCTGGTGTTAATCCAGGATGGGTCCGAGCAGCGTGTTTTGCTAACCAACACTGTCTACCCTGTTGATCCTTTGACAGTCCCTAAACCCAAGTTTCGTTTGACTACCAAAACCCCGCCGGGTTTTGCTGTTCGGGCTGTGGCTGCTAAGAGCGCCAGATGGCCAACCGGTCGCTCTTCTGCTGCCAGGTTTGCACCTGGGGGGGAGTGCGTTGGGTGTTTGAGAGATTTCGAAAGTTCTGAGGGGCCGAAGTTTGAGACCGGGCTTGAATCAGGGTCTTCCAGTCTTTCCGAAGAGGCTTCAGATGGGGATCTTGGTGTAACTACGGATGAGGAAGGGTTTCAAGAACTCCAGGTTGATGGTACGACCGTGAAGCTTCTCTTTGGAGATTCTGGTGTTTGGCTGGGAAATAAGCTTGAGACTGGTGACTACAGCACGGTTGAGGCCTTAGAGGTGCTTAGAAGGTGTGCTGACAAGCTTCCTCCTCCAAATCGAAGGGTATTGGGTGGAAAAGGTAGGTGTGCCGTGATGGGGTTGTACAATCAGGGAGGTTTTCAAGGCGTGTCGAGGTTCGCCAAGGATCATGGGGATCTTGTGCGTTACTTGAACAAGTTTGTTCGAGCTCAGGGTTGCGAACATCCTTACACTACCCTGTACCTTACTCGTAACACCTCTACCCCTTTGCACCAGGATGCTAGAAATGAAAGAGTGGTACCGGTTTGGGTGATTGCTCTTGGGGAGTTTCAAGGAGGTGGCTTGTGGGTTGAAAGTTCCGATGGCCAGGGTCCTGTTTTGAGACAGTTGCCGGGGGGTGACTTAAGGGCTGGTTTTGTCAGGGATATTCATGATAACCCGTGCACCTTTAGTGGTCAATTGTGGCATTGCGCTGAACCTTGGTGTGGCAAGGATAGGTGGGTGATTGCTGCCTATGCTCCTCGGGGTGCATGGAAGATTCTGAACGAATACGCTCATGAGCTTGAGAGCTTGGGGTTCGATTCTAAAGGGTTGGATCACCTTTTCGCTGCAGAGCGTGCTTCGATTTCAAAGTTTAATGCTGAGGGTGATGAGGACTTGACCTCTGAGGGGCTTTGGGAAGTTGAGTTTCCTTGTGAAGTGTTGAAGCCTGGTTGGCGTGAGCACGCTTTAAGAAATCACCTGTCCTCAGCTTTGGCGTGTAAGGCCCTTGTGAAGGAGCTTAGCTGTTTTGGAAATGATGATGTAGGCTACGAATTGATTCGGACCTTGAAGTCGGTTGAATGCCAGCGCGAGTGGTATGAGGGACTTCTGTGGGATGACTTTGTCAGGAATTCTGGGAGTATGTTAAAGGCTTTGAATCAGGATGTTCCTCTGAACCCGGAAGACCAAACCAGCCCTGCCGAAGCTTTTCTCCAGACGAGGACAGTAAGCTTAGCTGAGGCAAAGGGTGAATTGGTGCTATGGATACCTTCGGCTACTGAGGAAGTTGTCTCTTTGGAACAAACGAATGAGGCTGTTGAGCGCATTGTCGTGTCGGACATTGAGCGGTTGATTCAAGAAGGAAAAAGGGTAACCCAGGTTCCAGGAAAGGCAGTCCTAACAAGGAAGGCTGGTGTTGGGAAACGCCGATTCAGATGCGTCGCGTGTGGGAACTACATCCCCACTGGCTCTCCTGATTCCAACAACCTTTATGCGAGTGGCGTTGAAAGCTTGACTGTCAGAACGGCATTAGGTTTTGCTGCTTACCGTGGTTGGGCAGCTTTGAGCGCCGACATAAGGACGGCCTTCCTTCACGCGCCGTTGGACGGCGAGCTTGAGTCCGAAGAAATTATCATTGTCAGGCCTCCATCTATTCTTGTAGACATGAAAATTCTTTCCCCGAATCATCGATGGCGCGTGCGTAAAGCACTGTATGGGTTACGACAAGCTCCCTTGGCTTGGGCCCGGTTCCGAGATAAGTCATTGCGGGTGCTGACCTTTCAGTGTGACGGTGCATGGTATGCCTTGCAGCAGGGTGTCAGTGATGATTCGCTTTGGTTCATCACTAAAAGCGAGATTGCCGAGGATGACACTGAGCGTTGGCATGGCATCTTGATCATTTACGTTGACGATCTTTTGGGTTTCGCTTCATCGGTGATCCTTAGTGCCCTTTTCGATGAAATACAGAAGCTGTGGAAGCTTTCGGAACCCGAGTGGATTCGGGAGGAGGCTGCCACTAAGTTCTGTGGGTTGGAAATCCAGGCCCTACAACGAGGAGGGTATCGCATATCGCAGGTTTCCTATTTGCAGGAGCTTTTTGCAAGATACGACGTCACAAGCAGTGCAAGTGCGCCCTTGAGTAATTGGACTGATCCGGAAAATGAGCAACAGGTGCAGTTGGAGACTGTCCGGAAGGCGCAAGCCCTGACAGGTGCTTTGCTTTGGGCTTCGTCGAAAACCAGACCCGATATTGCTTTTGCTGTCAGTAAACTTGGGCAATATGCTGTGAAGGCGCCAAGCATTGTGATTGAGAGCGGGCTTCAAATCCTGCGCTACTTGTATGGTACGGCGGACCTGTGGCTGGAATACCAGAAGCCAAGCGACAATTCCTGGCTCGACGCTCCGGTTCCTCGAACTTTAAATACTCTGGAGTTGTACACCGACGCTTCCCATGCCCCTAACGGGGGGCGATCTTGCCAAGCGATGGTCATCCTATGGGGAGGAAATGTGTTATGCTGGGAATCCTGTCGTCAACCGTTTGTGACTCTGTCCTCTACGGAGGCAGAGCTAGTTGCAGTCACCGCCGGAATAGTTGCTGCAGAATCAATTGGGGGCATCATTGAGGAAATGATCGAGTCCGACATCACGGTCTCTGCCTTGTGTGATAACCAGGCAGCGGTAAGGTCGTTTGCTGTTGGAAGTCTCGGGTGGCGTAATCGACATCTTCGCATGAGAGCTGCAGCTGGGCGTGAACGTATAGATGCGGGATCTCTAGTAGTCACCTATGTTCCAGGATCGATTCAGCTCGCAGATATAGCTACGAAACCACTGTCTCGAGCTAGGATTCTTCAGCTTGCTGAGCTAATGAATATGCGAATGAGACTTTCGCCAGCTGGGGCAGATGATTCGATCCGTACAGTCAGCAGGTTGTCTTCCAGCTTCGGATCCCAGGGATCTGTCTCTCCCCGGACCTTAGCGGGTCTTGCATTGGTTGCTGTGTTGTCTGGTGTCCGAGCTCAACCGGCATTGCGAGTTGAAGAAAGGATTGAATGGATTCTTTGGTTCTTCGGAGTTTTGGTGGGTTTGGTTTTGCTTGCTTGGGCTCAGTGGTTCCTTGGTTTAGGTTTCAGAGGCTTTTGGCGGGGGGAACAGTTGCGGGAATTAGTAGGCGATGCTGTCAGTCTTGGGGGTTTGGAGTTTGCTGCTGAGGCTCAACAGGACTTCGGGGTTGGAAATGAGGTTTCCCTGTCTTCTGAAGTTGAAAGTAGGGCTGGTTCTGAAGGTGATGGGTCTGAACAGTTCTCTGAAACTGAATTGCTGGAGGCGCAGCGCAAACTTCAGGAACGGGAGCGCAGCAGTCAGCAGGTTCCTCCAAGTCCCGATGTGCAGATTGGGGGGAGCAATAGCAGTCAGCAGGTTCCTCCAAGTCCCGATGTGCAGATTGGGGGGAGCAGTAGCAGTCAGCAGGTTCCTCCAAGTCTCGGTGTGCAGATTGGGGGGAGCAGTAGCAGTCAGCAGGTTCCTCCAAGTCTCGATGTGCAGATTGGGGGGAGCAGTAGCAGTCTGCAGGTTCCTCCGAGTGGTGTTGAAAGCTTGACTGTAAGAACGGCATTAAGCCTTGCCGCTTACCGGGGTTTGGCAGCTTCGAGCGCCGACGTACGGGCGGCATTCCTTCACGCGCCATTGAACGGCCAGCCTGAGTCCGAAGAGATTGTCACTGCGCAGTCTCCATCCATTTCCGTGCTGAATCTCCTTGACTTAGAAGATGACCCTACTCCAGATGATAGGCCCCATAGAGCTGTAAGTCCCCGGGTTCCTGTAGAAGGTCAGTTTTTCCTTGGGGAAGGGTGGTCTTTCTTCTGAAAGCGAAAGCGGAGATTCGACAACTGAGCCGTCGATATTTTCTGTGTCTAGCGGAGATGCTGCTGTCGATGAAGAAGTATGGGTTATTCGTGATGCCGAGGCCAGACTTGCCCAGGCAGACGAGCCACAACCTTTAGGAGTGAACTTCCGAGCTGCGCATGAAGTGCTAATAGGGACCTATGCTGACGACGAGGTTAGTATAGCGCTTCAGGGATGGTCCCAGGCTGAGGTTGAGACTATTGTTACCGGGCTGAATGAGGGTGAATGGACGTCGTTTCATGCAATGCTGGCACAGACCAGCAATCAAGAAAGTCAGATTTCCACTCAAGTTCAGGGTTCGCAAAGTGTGGTTTGGGTCGTCGGGGTCGGGGTCGGTTTATCTCTTGTTGGGGCATTCGTTCAGTTGTGGAGCGTTAGTTTTGTGGCGTGTTGGTTCTTGCTGCTTTGGTGTAGGAGTAAGGGGGATTTTGCAGGGACTTTTGGGAGGATTTGGGGTGTGCGGCCAAGGAGTGATAGGCGCTGGGTCGTACTTCTCTATGTTCTCTGGTTAGTCCTGGGCGGCGTTCTTCCTAGTTCTGCAGAGGTAGTAACCTATGGGGATGAACCGGTTTCTTTCGGTAGGTGGGATGAACCGACTGGTAGCTCCACTGGGGTTGGCGATGTGTGTCTGGAGGATGAGCAAGGGTCTAGCTCTGAAGAAGCCGGGAGCTGGGACTGGTGGCTGTGGGTTGCCTGCGTGATTGGAATCTGGGAAATCGTTCGTGCCTTATCTCTTCGTGTGTGCAGAAGTAGAAAGACAGTGCAGGATCAGGCAGTCAGCGCCGAAACGGTGCCGTGGCCTTTGCATCCAGGTATCCCTCACCGAGCGAACATCTTGTACTGCTACTGGCGTGCAGGATACGTGTTTGACGTACAAGAATATCCTGAAGCGGTTCAATCACGATTTTATGGCCTCCTAGGCTCCCACCTTGAGAGGCGTGACAGAGATGGCTTGTCCTCCACAGACTCTTCTGATTGAACTGATTTTGGGGCATTCTGAATAAGATCAGCGGTGTCCTAAGTTGCGGATGCTGGCAACTGCCAAAAACCCAAAGGAGACGAAGACTATCAGCTGTTATCTCCAGAATATCTGGGCTTTTAATCCTCATGAAGCTAAGTCTTGTGCGGGGTGTAGGATCATAGCTATAGTTTTCGGTCTCTGCTTGCATGCGTGGATGCCTCTTGATCCGACATCGAACTGCTCCAAAGGAGAAAGGGCTGCCGAAACAGAACGGCCTGTTCGAAATAGGGTCAAACATTTGTACAACGAGGCTTTTGTCCACTTTTGCAACCAAAGGACGATCCATCCGGGCTCGGGCATATAGAATGCTGATGTTTTCCTGGTGATGCATTCCGATCACCTGAGTCTTGGAGTCTCAGGTGAGGGGGAGTGCGTGAAGCATCCTGGCCGCTCAGGTGGAGACGTTGTTGCGTTACCGAGGCTGTCTTTTGTTCGAAAAAATCGAGGCACGATCCGAGGGTCTAGGATTCAGACTTAGGCTGCCTAAGCTTTCTGGTCCCCGTAGGGTTCTGTATTTCACGTAGTTAGGGTTTAGGGTTTAGGGAGGGTTTCAGGAGGATTTGGGGTGGGGAAGTGTAGGATTCAGGGTTTAAGGGTTTACAGGGTTTATAGGGTTTGTAGGGTTTAAGGGTTTAGGAGTTAGGGTGCAGGATTTAGGGTTCGGGTTCGGGGCCTTGAGGAGGCTTGAGGGTGAGGACAGAAGCCGAAACCCTAAAAGCTGAAACATCCAAGAAACACCCACCCTGAACCCGAAACCCTAAACCCTAAACCCCAACCCCCAAACCCTAAACCCTAAACCCTAAACCCTAAACCCTAAACCCTAAACCCTAAACCCTAAACCCTAAACCCTAAACCCTAAACCCTAAACCCTAAACCCTAAACCCCAAACGAACCCCTGGGGGCGAGGTACGATCAGCTCTTTCAGGAGCTCCAGGAAGCCGAAGCTTCGGTCGCGGCCTCGCCGTCGGGGTTTAGGGTTTAGGGTTTAGGGTCTAGGGTTTAGGGTTTAGGGTTTAGGGTTTAGGGTTTAGGGTTTAGGGTTTAGGGTTCAGGGTTCAGGGTTCAGGGTTTAGGGTTTAGCAAACCCACAAAAGAATTCAGGGTGTAGGGTTTGGGGTTTTTGTTCGGGAGGCGAGGCTCGCCCCCCTAAACCACAAGCTCCTTTTTTATCCCGTGGCAGGCGGTAGACCCGAGCACCTGAAAACCAATGTTCGAATCAACCCTCAACCGCAAGAGCCCTCGAAAGCATACCCAAAGCTTAAGCCCGAGGCCCTAAACCCCAAGAACCCTAAACACCAAATAAGAGCCTTCAGTGTTTGGGGTTTCGGGTTACGGTTTAGGGTTTTAGGGTTTTGAGTTTAGGGTTTCAGGTTTTGGAGAGACCATGAACCCTAGGGGGTGTTGGTTTAGAGGCTGTAAAAAGACGGATGAGCTCCTAAGAAACCCTAAGCCCCTTATTAGCCCTTAAGAGACCTTTAGCCTTTAGCCCCAAGCCATACGCGCCTAAACCCTAAACCCCCTAAACCCTAAATGCCCTAAACCGTTGAAGCCCCAACGCCTGAGGCAAAGATGTGGAGCGAGGAGGCCTAACAGCCGAGCGGAGCTGAACCGTACTTCGCCTTTAGCTGAACTTTAAACTTGTTGGGTTCCATATTTGGTAGGAGTATTAAAGTTTAAGCTTCTTTCCCCCTTGTTTAAACTTTTTGGGTTTCCATACTTCGTAGGTGTATTAAAGTTTTATAACCCTGTTTTCCCTTTGGTTATTGGAGGAGTAAGAAACTTGAGAGGGTGGCGGGTTTTCAGATGTGGGGGCACCTGGGGTCCACTAGGGTTTGAAGCTTCTTTTTGTAGGGTTTAGGGTTTAGGGTTTAGGGTTTAGGGTTTAGGGTTTAGGGTTTAGGTTTTTTTTTTTTCTCGTGGGGGGGGGGGGGGGGTAGAATTGTGGGACTTGGGGTCTAAAGGCTCTTTTGGTGGTGTTTGCCCTGATCCGACTCTCCCCAAAACTCTGCAGACCCTAGACATCCTAGACCCGGTGGTGCAGGGTTTATAGGATTTAGAGGATTTATCAGATTTATAGGGTTTATAGGGTTTACAATAGGGCTTCTAGGATTTTTAGGGCTTGTAGGGTTTCTAGAGTTTTTTTGGGTCGGCGCTTGCGCCCAACTCTTCTGCGCAGGTGGAAACTGCCCGCGAGCAGTTGCGGGAGGCCGAGGAGACGCGCGCCAGGGTCCAAGGTCCCCCCTGTGAGGTGCGCGAAGGTTTAGGGTTTAGGGTTTAGGGTTTAGGGTTTAGGGTTTAGGGTAGTGTGGTTGGGGTTTATCTGCAGCCACACAAAGGCTTTACCTCCGTAAATCCTGTAAATCCTATACACTCTATAAACCCTATAAACCCTGGAATCCCTATATAAATCCCTATAAAGCCGGAATTCCTATAAACCCTATAAACCTTGCAATCCCCATAATCCCTATAAACCCTATAACCATATATTCCCCAATTGCAGGGGATGGCCAACACGAACTCTTTGCATCCGCAGTTCGGCCCACTGTGAGGAATGCGGATGCGAGTCGCCACTCCGTAGTGCAGTCGAACATCTCAAGCTCTCAAAGCCCTCCACGGGCATGGCAGGGTTTTGTATTGCTGCTTTTTTGTTGAGAGTATCATATATATGTATATGTGTCTGTGTGTATGCATAAGACTATGTTTGCTTGTAAGAAAGGGTGTCCTTTCGGGGATGTGAGCCTTCTAAAGCCTACTTTGTGTCACTTGTGCACCGTTTATTGTGTGGGGCGACCTAAGCTGTTGGCGCCTTTTATCGGCCCGGGGCTTCCTTCCCCTAAGGGTCCATGTACCTAAATAGGGAGATACTCGTGCCTTCAAGTACTTCCAAAAATAGAGAACATAAGGGGCCCAGGTATATGATAATAATAAGGTACATGCACACTGTGGGTTCACCTTACGCCAAGGATCGGTACCTTCGAATCCTGCAAGACTGCTATGACCGTCCAAGCCTCATGTTCCTGCGCTTGCGATGTGTGAGCGAATCCTGAAATTCTCAACAGACACCCTGTACCTCGAGCCCGTGAACCCGAAGCCATGGACACATCTGAAGACAGCAGACTTTTTATCGGGACCTTCAATCTCTTGTGCGCTCAAGTAGCCTGAATCCTAAACCCCACACCCCTACCATTTAAGGGACTTCTAACCCATGTGCACTGAACTAAAACATGTGCACCCCGCGCGATAAACCCAGCAACTGCTCAGGCACCACCAAGAGTGGCCCACGCGGACTTTGAGCCAAGCCCCTTCACAGGCCACCGAGCGACATGGGTCGCCCTCCCCTTCCACAAAAGTACCTGTTCAAGACGCCCTGTACATTAAACATCCTCACGAAGGCCCTCTTGGGCCCTGATGAAAATTTTGGGGTGCCCAGCCAGAGTTTCAAACTGCAGAGCTTCAGACTTCAGAGTTTTTTGTTCTTTGGAAGACTTTCGGGTGCTGGACGTAGGTTGATTTAGGTTGATTTGAGGCTCAGGCAATTCATCCGTCGCATTATGAACTGCCAGCAAAGTTGTACATTAGAGAGATCACTGAGCTCTTGGAGGAAGTCGGGGGTTTAGGGGTCTTAGTTTTTAGGGTTATGGGGTTTAGGGTTTTGGGGGGACGCAGGGGTGGGTTTGGAGGTAGCTCAAGCGGATGGCAGCACAGACGACAGTGTAGCAAAGTATCGGTCCGCGAGCAGTAGGTGGTTACAGCTTGCAACCCTAAACCCTAAACCCTAAAAAGCCCCCGGGGTTCTTCGTAGGGAATGCAGGGAATGAGGTACTGTACCCTATATCCCCGGAGTATACCCTTTAAGGGATTCTATAGGGTACTTCATTCCCCCATTCCCTACTGAGAGCCCTAAAAATGCCAAACGAATGAAGGCGGAGCTCCGTGGTGGCGAACGTCTAGATCTTGGAGGCATGTGATCGTTCAAATGCTGTGTCAATGTGAGAACATGCCCGTGGCCTAAGGCCACGTAGGGTTTAGGGTTCAGGGTTTATAACATAGGGTTTAGGGTTTAGGGTTTAGGGTTTAGGGTTTAGGGTTTAGGGTTTAGGGTTTAGGCAAGCCTGCGCAAGGCAAGCTGACATTCTTGACAGCAAGACGGACTGTGCAAGGGTAGGGATGAAGGCAGATCGATTTTGCCTGACTGGGATCGCAACTGTCGAGGTACGGCTCGGCGGCGTCAGTGAGAAGTGCTGGGCAGCAAGACCTTGCCCCAAACACGGACCCAGAATAAGGACCACAATAGGGGCTTGCAGTTTAGGGTTTGTGCGTTCATCACGCAGCTTTTTACTGGTTCCCTCCGGGTACTTCGACCTTCCATCGAAGAGTGAGTGAATGCGAGGATGTACAAAGGTCAAAGCTCACACCAAGACACGCCCTAAGCGCGGTCTGCTGAGAGTATGACGCCCTATGAAGACGAAGACGACGGCATCCCGGGTCCTTTTCTTTGTTGCCATCTGCCATTAGTGACAATTAGTGCGCCCTGCACCGTC